TCGTAAATGTCCCATAAAAGCTTGTTTTGGATTAATTTACCTTTCTTTTCTCTTTAGACTGGCAGATCAGTGACGGCGGCCATGACAGTTCCATCCGGGTAACACAGGGCTCGCGCTGAGCGGGAGTAGTGAAGCAGGAACTCAAAGCGGATGAATATGGAGCACTACCTGAACGGCTCATCAGCTTCTCCCCTCACAGCTCTTTATTTCTCCTTCATGGCCCAGGAACACACTCAGAATGCTGTTTTGTTTATTAGTGGATATAACTGGCGCTGTAAGGAGCATTTTAGTTTAAAACGCGCTCATGTGTTTTTTAGCGCCTGCGTTTATAACACCACTATAAGCCACAGCCCACAGATGTAAATGTTGAAGAACAGCTCCGTTTAGACTTCACAGACGCCATGTCTGCTACCAGAGCAGAGCGCGCCATTTTATATGGCTGTCGACCATATAACGGTGTTTTGTTTTAGCCAGCCAACATTTCTGTAACAACATTTAATCTCAGTTAAGATGTGGCTAGTCGATAAGCGCAAAGGTACATGACCCGTGCTGTATGCATTAACCCATCATGGAGGCGGTGGTTGATTTAATCCACCTTCCACATTGTCAGGCGTTACTGTTACATGATTCGTGTTATATGAGTAGGCTAGATAGTGTTGTATTTGGTTTGTTAACGCATCAACGTGCTTCCACAGACAAAATGATTTGTGACTAGCCCATGTTTTTCACATGGACTGCAGTTTATACTATAGCAAATGGTTAAATGACAATTCCAGCAATTCAATTTCTCAAAATGTGTGAGTAATTCAGTCACTGAGATGTAAAAAAAGAATTTAGAATGGTTTGATGCGAAATGGTTAATTGTAGAGACTTATAGAGATTTATTTAGAGTGGTGGTGATAGGAACCAGGGTTGTGATGTCTACAACACAAATAGCCATTTATTTGCTAATAAAAAAAAAGTGAACCTACACGTGTCTCCTAGGTGTTTATAAGTTATGTTGATAAATAGTGGTATATCTAGATGCAGAATAGTGGTAAATCTAGTAACAAAAAAAGTTTTATTTAGGACTACATTGTTGTATCTCTCCACTATTAATTGATTTTAATGTTAGCCCAAAAGTTTATCTCAAAATTAAAACAATGTCTTGGACATTAGGTGTCATATTCATAACCGTTTCATATAATAACATCTTGTGATGTAGCCTAGCTTTTAGAGGCATTAAGCTTTTCTGCCATCTGGTTCCTATCACTACTGTGATCTATTCTGACTTGGTAAGTTTCTTTAGAACACAGTATTTCACATCATACCACTCTGAACAACTTTGTTTACATCTTAGCAATTGACTTATGGTAAAATTTTGAAAAATCAGTGGAATTCTCCTTTAAATACATTGTTTATATATTTTAAGCTCGTTTGCCCAAATGTTTATAAATTTAATAGTAGGGAACATGCTACAGGAAGTGTTTTCTCTTCCTGCTTTGTCATGTATATAGTCGTCCTAACCTATAGGTGATTTTCAAGTAACCAGGTGATATATAGGTACTTAATGTTACTGTTTTTTCAGCAAGCCACAATTTCGGCTGTGTGTCTATGCTTTTAATTCTCAGAATAAGCCAGGCTGTGGTGCATATAGGATGAATGGTTTCCCTAAATCCCTTCGCAGGTAAAGCACTGTGGAATCAGTGCAGTTAGCATAGGAAGTGCTGTGAGACACCCCGCTAATCAGTCACTGATCTTTTTCTAGGTTGCTATTGTCATCAGGGCAGCAAACTGTAGTTTTGCTTTCTTTTAGGGAGACACAGGCCTAGACTTGCATGATCACAACATTGTGGAGACCGAATAGTGTCTAAATAAACTAATTAAACATGAAATAGGAATAAAGAAATAAATAAAATACAATTTTACTGTGATGCTGATGAAGCTGTCTCAAAGTACCAAAACAGAAGTTACAAAGATGTTCACGTGTTGGCCAGTTTATGCTGTAAATACAGACAAAAAATATTGTATTGGAACAACTTTAGACTTCTATGTTTTTACATCATATCTTTCAAACTTTGCTGTTTTATGACTTATGTATTAATCTTATTGTAGTGAATTTGGAGCTACATCTCCAAAACTTATTGCTCTTGGCTGGTAAAGGGCTACCACAAAATAATAAGAACATATTAATAAGAACATATTATACCTAATATCAAGTATCCTGAGCTGAATTATATTTTATAAAGGGCCCATAAGACCTCTACACAAATGTAAAATGCAAATATGCTATATTATTGTATGCTATATTAGATAATTTGTGTTTTATGTGAATAACACATTAGTCTCCATTCTAGCATTTTGTAATCACCAGTTATGCTATTTAACAAATTACAACATCAGAAATATTGTGTAATTGAGTTTCCTTTTGAGATTTATTTTTCCACAAATGTATAAGTTTATACTGTCTGCCAGTTGATGTAAGTGAAGCATCCATGATCATGATATGATCAGGGGAACCAAACAGATGTTTTTTCCTAGAGATCTCTCCAAGACCAACTGTATGTCTTAGGGGCACCACAACAGTGCATAAATGGTACTTGCCCATCTTATTCCTCCTGATGTTGCATTTCCCCTGCTGATGTTGCAGGACAGATAAACAAGTTATCTAATGTAGGTTAGTAATTTTATAGTAGCCTATGTATTGTGCATGTATATATATATATATATATATATATATATATATATATATATATATATATATATATATATTGGCTCAAGACACCAACTTCATATTTGGTGTGTATGTTAACTGAAATGTGGTCTTTATTTTATGGTAGGCTTAGTTAGACATGACCTATGTGCTTTTGAACATCAGGCCTGTTGTGATTTTTTAATTTTTAATGGTTTATACATTGGGCCATTATTACTTTAACATTCCAAATTAGCTGACAAAACTACACAGTGATAGAGTGTTAATAACCAAAGTCTGAAAGATCTTTGTATCTTGACCATAAATACTTTAAGGAATAATCCCGGAAATGTTAATACATCGAACATCAATAATTTAAAAGTAATTGTGTTTAAACATCTTTACATTGTTTTTTCCCATTGCACTCATTTTAAGGCAGATATGAAGACTTGTACCCACTATGCCTCCGAAATGTATGAAAATACAAGCCTAAAATTTACAACAGTAGGTCAGCTAAACAAGGTGTGACCACCCCTGTCATAAGACTAGTGTTTGATATGGATCTAGGATTATCAGGCCTATCATATTTAATGTTTTGATTAAGTATGACCATTAACAGCCCTTGTATTGATTTAAGACAGCCTATCAATCATCCTTCTACAGAGTCTAGGTTAATCATGGCTATTGTTATGCTAATCATTCCAACAATAGCCTGTGGATAAATTAATCAATACTTTGCCCATAAACATAAAAACAATATTCCACAGACATGCTTAAATAATGTTGTAATGTCAAATAAGAAATCATGTTTGAGTATGTATTTATACAAATAAACATATATTAGTCCATTACTGTTGATATCTGAAATGTCCCATGTTCTCTTAGCTGGTCTCAGCAAAATCTGAAGAGAATGTCGGAACTGATCAAACCATGTGACTATAAAGTGTGTTCTTATTAGTATTCATATTAAATCTATTTTTTGATGGAACTCAACTATTTTTTTACCCAAAAAAAGAAAATATAAATGTAATTGTGAATTAAGGTTACAACAAAATGGGTACTAGATGTTAATTCAAGATATAACTAAACAAATTTATAAATTTAAACCAAGCAGAATTCATTCTGTTCATATAAATGCAGTTGCTGGGCATAAACGGCTTCTTTAACTGAATTTCAGAATATCAAACCAAGTACATAATTTGATTTTATTATTACTATGCAACAAAGTTATTTTATTTATTGTGGTGAAATAATGTTTATTCCTATGTTTAATGATTTGACTTATTTGCCATTTATAAATAGTGGTCTGTTTGAATAATATTGAGTCAGGTCATATACATAATATGGACTTTATATACAGCACAGTTTCAAAATGTTTGCATTGACACTATTTTTTTCTCTCTTAAACTCAGCTTTTTCCTATACACAGTACTGTGCAAAAGCTTTATATTGAGAAAATGATATAAGAAAGCTATTTATGTGGACAGTAAGTGTTTATTTACTCAAAACAAATGAATAAAATAAATGCATTAACATAAGTGCATTGAGTGCTTATTTCACATGTGTATCAATGTGTTTGCTTAACCATTTCCAAACCTCTCTTTGAGAAAGCCCAGTATTATTTTTAGTTATCATCCAGTACATGGTTTAGTTAATAAGTCCTTCATTAAGATAAATCAGGTGAGCTTTAATAAATCTATATGATATCTAGGGGCATTGATGTCTGGAACCAAACCTTTGTTCTTCTCACTAGCTCAAGTCTATCTAAAGTGCTTTTTTGAAAACAAGGAATTCTTGTCACTAATGTATTTGTGTTTGCATTTATTCTAAAGTTGTGTAATGCTTCAACACTTACTGTTGAGATAAACAATTTGCTTCGACTTTTGTACAGTACTGTATGTGGGTTTTTTCATATATGTATCAGGACAGAGAAATGTCATAACATGCCTTATTGTGAAAAGTTATCATTTTCCAGATTGTTTTGGTAATTGCCTTCACATGAGTCCTCAGCTGATATCCTGAGAATGGAGTGTGTGTTTGAAGTAAACAACAAAAGAGTTTATTGAAGTTCTGTATGAATATTAATGAGGTGTGAATTGGGCGTGGCTGGTGAAAATGGCTGGTGTGCATTAGTTGAGATCAGAGAGCTCCAAGTTTGAGTGCTTCACAGCTCCACCCTCCTCTGGACTGAGGGGTTCTGAGATAAATACTGCCAGCTCTCAGTCCTGAGGCAGAATCAGAAGGAGTAGCAAGTACATCTTCCCTCTAAGCTCATCTGGAGTATAGCTGTTAAGAAATCTTCAAGTCACTTCAAGAACAACCTACAGCAATGTGGACTGACAGCAGTGCTGGTAAGGCTTACTTAACAAATCATCTTTATTTTTCATGTTGTATGCCACTGTCAGTGCATTTATATTTGTAATCTACAGTACAGTTTATATGTGTATGTGTGTCTGTCTTATGTGGATGTGGCTAGCAGAAAAGGACACCTCCTTATCTGTAGATGCCCTCTTCTTCTGTCTTCTTTCTTGGTCCCTGATGTCTCCTACCCAAAACCTCTGAAGGTATCTATGTATGTTTATTTGTCTTGACTGCAAACAGGCTTGGGAGAATACATCTACATTCATTTTAATACATACAGATTCATGTTGCTCATCAAACTAACATGTATATGTTTTTTCCACAGCTCAAGATGGAGCATCTCAAGCCAATAAGATTGCAGGCAGGAGGAAGAGAACCAGTTTCACCAAAGAGCACTTGGAGCTGCTCCGCATGGCTTTCAGTGTGGATCCGTATCCTGGCATCAGTGTCAGAGAGAGTCTTTCTCAAGCCACCGGCCTTCCAGAGTCACGCATTCAGGTAGGTGTCCAAAACATCTGTCAAAATATTGGTTGTGGTCTTCTATTGTCTTGAGATTTTGTGGTTAATTGTACAACATAATCTAACTTTTGATTCTTTTCTTTGGTGTCAAACAGGTGTGGTTCCAGAACAAGAGAGCAAGAACCTTGAAGAACAGGGCCACTAGGACCTCACCTCAATTAGAAGCTGCTTCTCCTCTGCCCAGCCCCTTCCTGCCGCCTCACATGGTTCAGCCAAGAAGCATGACAGAAGCATCCTTTAACATCACTCAGTCTCAGCTGAAAGAAGATGGTGAACAGGACTGCTTTTTTACTGACTTGTCTTCACAAAGTTTTGGCTTCCCATTGAGTGGCACCTACTGCAGTACTCCAGCCACCAGGCCCCGACAAGACAGGCTGATGGGCACTAGCGTGAGTCCTTCTCCTCTTCCTTCTGATTTGGAGGTTACTCCAGTCGGCTGGGGCTCCCTGAAAGCGCAGTCTTCACCAGGTTCTCTATGGAGCCCAGCACTTCAAGGCATTGGAAGCAGTGTCATGGATGAGAGTCAAGTCTTTCTCTACCCACCACCTCCTTATCCTCATGGCAGTGCCATGGCTGGATGTTCTGGAGGTCTGAAGTCGTTCTCCGCCTCCCCTGGTTCTCCTGATTCTGCATTTTGGGATATGGGACTGGATAACTCCTCTCCATCTGTACCTTACTCTCAGGGAGGTACTGTGTGGAATGAGCCTGCTCCGGAGCAGCCTTTGGCCCCACTGCCTAATCTGTCTTCCCAGTGTCTGGAGGAAGTCCTCGGAGAGATTGAGCCAGGTTGGTGGAAGATCAACGGACAAATGGAGCTTCAGTAGATCCATGACTGAAAGCATATATGCATTATTTATTTATTTTTTTCAAGAAAGCAAATGACTGATTTAATGTGCGAGGAAACATTTTGAGCAACGTTGTATATTTATTTTGCTTTAAATGATGATCAGATTATAATCCACACACATTATGATATTGTGGTAATGCAGGTCAAACAACAATATCAAACTGCAATTTAATTTTTTTTTTTACATATTTATATATTTAATGTTCCAATATATTTATATATTTAATCTTCCAAACAGTAGGTCACCAACTGACCTCATGCTGCAAGAGTACATCAGTATTTAAGACCTTTGGTCCTTCATACATAATTTTATTGCTTATTTATTTCACTTTAATGACGGGGTGCAGAATGAAAATGTAAATATTCACCTATTTTGTAACATAATTTATTTCATGAATAAAGTGTTCATTGAATGGATATGTCTTATACTAGTATTTGTCTATTATTCTTATTCTTATTACAAAACTGGGTGGAAAATATTTTGTTACTGTACTATATATATATATATATATATATATATATATATATATATATATATATATATATATATATATATACATATATATATATATATTCTTTCATGCCAATCAGTGAAAGTCCTGCATATTTTAATTATCATTTTTAATATTTAATATTTTTAAGTGTGATGTTGATAATGGTAAAATGGTGGTAAATCTGAAAAAAAAATCTGATTTATTTTATTAATTTATTTTAACATAAAAGGATTAAAATACATTTTAGGCTAAAGTATTGTCACAAAATCAGAAAACAGTGTGTCAGATATCAGTCAGCGTACTCATGACTATTTCAGTGTTATGTGAGGAGCTTTCAGAGGCTTTAAACTCTCAGACGTCTGGTTCCCATCACCACCACTGAGAACTACTCTAATTGGGTAAGTTTGTCTAGAGCAGAGCGTTTCACATCAAACCAGTCTAAACGACTGTGTTTATAACCCAATCATTTAATTAACTAAACAGGCGGAGCGGAGTTTTAAGTGTAGTTTCTCTGTAACTGTTCCAGCTCTGATTAAGAGAGTTCCGAGAGTTCGGAACTATTCATAGCCGGAACCTTCGGTTCAGATTCGCATGTTTAACACGGAAAAACATTAGCAATGCGTGCGGTAGCCGGAAGTGGTACACACGTGAAAACAGTGCTGGAGCTGTGGCTGAGCGAGCGAGTGAGAGAGTGGAGTGAGAGAGAGAGACAATACCAACACGGAGTGGATTTAAGATCCATCTGCCTTTCTGAAGCGGCTGATTTATAAAGCTCGAGGCCTGTAAGTTGGACATTTGTGCGGTGTCTGTGCTGATTTAACACTTCTGATAGCTGAGCGTCCTCAGGTGTCTGAGTGAGGCTGGTCTGAGCTGAGCTGATATGAGGAGAGGAGGATCTGCTGGTTGGGGTGAAGAACACGTAAAGAAGCAGCTCAAATACAGCGTGTTGTAACACTGGCTGTCTTAATTGGTTGCTAATGCTTGTTAGCTTCCTAACTTTGACAGCATGGCAGAAGCAGCAGCTGCTCTGAGTCTCTAATATCTGCACTGCAGCTCAGCAGAGTAGAGTGTACACTTATGAGCAAAATCTATAGTAATACTGAAGGAGTTTCTACAGGATTCCTTGAAAATGCTGTAGTAAACTCATACAGTTACTGTAGTTCTAGTTTTGAAAGTCTAGTTATGCTGTTACTCTTGTCTGCAGACACATTAGTGCAGTTTGATAAAGTAAACTCACTCAGTATCATAGCAAAAAGTGGCTTTATTGACTTAAATATGTTACCTTTTCCAAATACATTTATGAGACATTGACAAACACAAGCAGCATTTTTGTAAGACTGTAGCCTTAATAACTCCAATTTCTTTATTTCTGCATACTTAAAGGGTTACAGTGTAAACTGAGTCATTCAGAGTGGTTTGATGTGAAATGCTCTGTACCCAAGAAAGCTACAGAATAAGAATTATTCACAGTGGCAGTGATGGGAGCTTTTGAGTTTCATAGCTCAAAAGATAGCAGGTTATGAATATGTTGTCTAATGTCTTAGAGATGTTTTTTACTAAATTTTTGAGATAAGGCTTTGACATAAAACTTTTTTAAGCCATTTCAGAGAGGTACATGCAAGGTGTTGTAAGGCAAAATAGTAAAATGAAATTTACCACTGGAATTGTTACATATAAAAACTCAGAAGATACATGTACGTTCTCCATTCGTTTTGGCTAGTAAATTAAATGACTGTATTTGTGTTTTACATCACATCCTGTCACCACCACTGTAAAGAAATCTCAGGTGGTACATTACAGTGATTTTCGCATCAAATCACTCTGAATTACTTTTTTACGTCTCAGCTTGTAAACAATGTCCAAATTTTGAAAAAATTGCTGTAATTTCCCTATAAAGTCTCTTAGGATGATCTAATGTTCTGTGTTGTGAAAAGACCTCCAGAGTGTGAGGATGGAGGGAAAGGAGCAGAAGCGACACCAGCAGAAACACAGCGGTCCCAAAGCTGAGAAGAAGAAAAAGAGAAAGCAGAGGGAACAGGGGGCAGAGCAGGAGCAAGATGAACGCAAGAGGAATCCACGAGCGTTCGCTGTGCGTTCAGCAGTGCGCATGGCCAGGAACTTCCACAGGTCAGAACTTCTATGCCCTGTGTGTCTCCAGTGCTTGGGGAGACATGTAACGATGTGTGCACTGTACATTTCCGTCTGTAGATCTGTAAATCTTTGAAAGTGACACAAATTTGATGTTTTCCAGCTCACCAGATTTAAAGTGAAACAATAACTGTGAACAGAGATGGAACTATCAATCAGCTATGTATCGCTATCGTCCGATTTCAGCCCAAATATGCGATCGACTGATATTTTTCTAATTAGCCAATCCTAAGAGCTGATCATATGAGAGCTAAAACATATAAGCCATATTTAAGGATTGCTGCCACCCTATGAGAGGCTCCTTGGTCACAGGACCCTTGCAGTTCCTCATTCAAATGACAGATGGAAATACAGACTTTTTGTCTTTTGACTACAGGAGAAAAGGATGATTTACGCAGAACCTGATTTTTACGAACGAAAAAAATGCATGTCAAGTTCTGAAAATGAACACATGTATATTAATGCCGTCTTTCACACTGAGTCAGAAACTGAAGTTGCGTAAATTTTTAATTGAAGCCTGCTCTGTTTTCTGTGTTGTACGGGTGCGTTAAAATCCATTGTCGTGGTTGCAGCCCATACAAATGTGCATCAGGATGGCAGCAGAACTCTTGTAGCAGAGCACAAAAACTTGTAGTACAAGCAAACGCTGACTGAAAAAAAAAAGTGGAGATTAAAGACAATATATGGCAGACCAGAACTAAATAGCTGTGAATGACTGTGTGTATGTTACAATGACAGTATTTATTAGCTTCTTTTTAAATAGAGGAGCAACAAGCAGAAACAGAGACTAAAATCCCCCAACTGAGGAAATACCTGCAGAATTGCTTTTTAAGCAGCTGCCCGGTGGGCCTCCTTGTGTTGTTGTCTTGTTTGTGGAATAGGATGAATTCAGTGTATGCACCGTTTAGTTGCAGTGCTTAAAAGAAAAAATGTTTTCGGAGTGTTTAGACAGAAAAACGCTTCAGACTTGGTGTGAAGGTCCCACTATGTTAAAATTGCATCTGGTCCAAAAAAATTACACTGAGAATAGGCCTTAACACTTCAGCCCTGCGCTCTTCTAGTATCGGCTATTATCCAATCATGCTGATCGATATCGGCTAATCAGTTCATCTCTTACTGTGAATTAAAGTTCAAAATGTTAGTTTTAAATTGACGTGTAGTGCTTGGGTGCAAATCCATTGTAGCTGGTGACTGCCCAAAGTCTGGCACACAGACATCATCAGATGCTCAGTATCATTCTTGCTGATGCTCTGCTAGGGCTGACATGTGGCCATTTTCAGTTCCTGCCTCTTCCAGGTGGGAAAGGCAGGCCCAGTGAAGTTCAGATCGGACCAGTCAAGAACATTCCACTTTATGGCCTTCAAAAAGCTGCTTTACCAGTTTCAATACTTTGCTCTGCTGTAAGGAAGCAGCACTCACTGTGTTTCAAGGCACTTGGCTGGAATGTGAACAATTAACATGCCTCTGTACACGCAGTCACATAATCAATAATGACAAATGAACCAGTTCCACTAGCAGCCATACATGCCCATGGCACCATGTTTAAACTAATGAGGTTGTGTGCTTAGGATCATGAGCATTTCCCTTTTTCTTGACACTTTCTTTTTTTTTTTCTATCACACTGGAAGAAATGAATCTTTGTCTCATCTGTTCATAAGAACTGTATAAGTTTTTGTATATACTTTTAGTAATTGTAACCAGGGCCTTTTGTTCATAAAGGGGAATTCCACTGATCTTTCAAAATATGTGTGTAATCAAATGGTTATGATATAAACATTCAGAGTGGTTTGATGTGAAATGGTCAGTTCTGGAGAAACATGCAGAGTGACAATTGTCCACAGCAGTGATGGTGAAGAGTTTAATGCTGCTAAGAACTACAAGAAAACAATGTTTTTACACTAACTAGATCTGAATATGTTAGTTGACTCTGGAAGGCCTTGTTTTATGATGGCTTTGAGAAGACTTTGGCTGAAAGATCATTTTTGAAATTACTTAATAGTGAAGAAATACAAGAAAGGATGCTGAGGCAATATAGGGTCAGAAAAAAATGCATTTTTTCAGGTTTACTACTGTTTACTTGTTCTCAACATTAGATATAAAAACTCAGAAGACACCTGTGGATTCCTGTCAGCACCACTGCAATAAAAATGATCTTGAAGTTTCTTTACAATTGACTATTTCCTTCGAGCTGCTCAGAATGACTTTCTTTACATTTCAACCATTGGATTATTCTGAAAAAAAATCTTTAGAGTTTTCCTTTAAAGGTTCATAGTGGTTTACGTCTTGGAGTAAAGCCTCCAAGATCATACTGGTGTACTCTTATCACAGTGATTCCTACAGATGTCATCCAATATGTATATTTCTACTGATTGAAGCTATTTTTTTTTCCACTTCAAATCAAATGTGCAACAACAAAAATGGCCCAATTACTGTGCACAATACCCTAAAAACACTAATAACTAAGTTATTATTTATTAATAACGTGAAGTTATTCATGTTTGTATTAGATGAGATAAGCATGCTCTTTTTATACCTAATAATACTCTGTTTATGTTGTCTTCTCAGAACTCAAGATTTAAAAACTAAGAAACATCATATCCCTTTGGTTGACCGGACACCTCTTGAGCCCCCACCTATTGTAGTGGTCGTAATGGGACCTCCAAAAGTGGGCAAGAGCACCCTTATTCGCTGCCTGATCAAAAACTACACACGCCAGAAGCTTGCCGACATCTGCGGACCTGTAACTATAGTGTCTGGTGAGTTACTGTGTCATCTTCACTTCATTCATATAGACCATTTATTGTTTTTGTTGCATAAATAATATGTTACATTATTTTGTCATTCATAAGTTAAAAGTCTCACTTTTCCATGCCTGTAGGGAAGAAACGGCGTCTGACCTTCATTGAATGTAACAATGACATCAATACAATGATAGATTTGGCGAAAGTTGCTGATCTGGTGAGTGTGTCCTGTGAAACCTTTCATATGGTAAAGCTTAACTGTCTGTAGCTTTAATGTTGTCAGCTCCTTTATACAACTTGTGAAGCATCTTTCTTTCCGTAGGTTCTGATGTTGATAGATGCTAGTTTTGGCTTTGAGATGGAGACTTTTGAGTTCCTCAACATTTGCCAGGTCCATGGCTTCCCTCGTGTCATGGGAGTGCTCACACATTTGGACTCCTTCAAAAACAGCAAGTCACTTAATAAAACCAAGAAACGCCTCAAACATCGCTTCTGGACTGAAGTCTACCAGGTAAAGCTGCAGCCCCATCAAAACATTAGCTTACAGCCTCCATAGGGCTTTCTTTATAGTTCATGTTGACTTTTCTGATTTAAAAGGGAGCCAAGCTGTTCTACCTATCAGGGATGGTTTATGGGGAGTACCAGACGCGGGAAGTGAAGAATCTTGGACGTTTCATTTCAGTCATGAAGTTCAGGCCCCTGGTGTGGCAGACCTCCCACCCTTATGTGGTGGCTGATCGGTAAGCATGTGAAAAACATTGCAATTGACTTGTCTACACAACACCAAGAGATGTGTTTATTCTTAGTGACTGTTGCTAGTATGCACAAGCTTCATAGAGCTTTGTCAAAATTCCAGTTTAACCTAAAGTGAAAAATAGAACAAAACATGCAAATTATTTAAATTGTACCGCCACAGGACTTTAGCGTTTCCACAAACGTTTCCTGTTTAAAGTGCTACATTACCCAGCTGGGCTATGTTATTGTAAACAAAACTTGGCAGGGTAAAAACTGCAGCATCAAAGTTTGTAGAATTTGCTAACATTAGCTTAATTACGTGACAAATAAAACTACACCTAAATTGCTCAAAATGATTGATTATGCAAATAGTCGTGGAAGTTTAATAATCAGTGGTAATTGGATTCAGTATTATACAGTCACACATTTAAAAACCATTTACATTTTGGTCGGAGGTTCTAATCTGTTTAGTCCACACGTAGACACATTGACAGACTACTGCAGCCGGCCAAAGGTTACCACATATTGGAGGAGTGCTGTACAGAAGCAGATAGTACAAAACACGAACAAAACCAGTGATAAACAAGAAAAAGTCATTTTACACTCTATCCATATAGATGTAATGACGGTTGAAAGATTAATCATTTTATATCGAAACTGCAATTTGAAAGACACAACCACAACCAACTAGCAGTGTGGCATACTAGATTCAAGCCTCAAGCCAAAAAAAGTAGAGAGTCTGGTCTTCTTGGCCAAAAAACAGGCCTGAACTTGGCCCTTCTTCATTATAAATTTAAAGTCACGTCACCTGCTATAGATTTGTTCTCTGGGCCTAACTTTAGTAATAGCACTGTTATAGTAAAATACAGAGTGGCCTCTGGTGTGCAGTAGCTTGTAGCTTTATGAGTCCCATGTAGAACTTTTTGTGTGGAACCGAATAATGCCTTACAAATTGGAATATGAAGTTTGATTGAAATATCTTCCTATTCCTATACCTAATCTGTCCTATTCAATGGACGTTAAATTATCAAATTAAATTGGCATGTTTTGTCAGCGGAGCAAGGATGTCCCAATTCGTGAACCATAAATGATTAATTCTAATTGATGTCGGCTGATGACAGTCTCATCTGTCTTTCAGAATGGAAGACCTGACAGATCCAGAGGCTATTAGATTAAATCCTAAATGTGATAGAACTGTATCTCTCTATGGCTACCTACGAGGGACATTCCTGAAGAACAAATGCCAGGTTCATATTCCAGGTAAGCTCGAGGGATAGGTGGATATGTGACCTACAAGTTGTTGTTCGTTGTGCAAATGATAGTTTCTCAATACTGTATGTATCTGTGATATGTAATATATGGAGTGTACTCTCTATAGGTGTGGGAGACTTCTCTGTAGCGGACGTCAGCTTCCTTCCCGACCCCTGTCCACTGCCAGAGATGCAGAAGAAGAGAGCTTTGAATGAAAGAGAGAGACTGCTGTATGCTCCCATGGCTGGGGTTGGTGGGCTGGTGTATGATAAGGATGCTGTGTACATAGACATGCCTGGAAGCCATGTCGGTCAGCAACAGGTGAGTTCCAGGGCCCATTTCTGTTTATTGGACAGTACTAGACTTGTGCAAATAAAGGAGTCTTTATTCAGGTCACCATGTGCAAAATGTCCGGCATAAATGGTTAAACAGGCTTTGTTGTGATCGGTGAGAATGTCTAGTGCAGGTCTGCTGAACGGTTCTGCAGGGCAAATGCTGTGTATGAATGGCTGTCGTGTTTAAGCTGTAGAAGTCACACTTCTGCATTACTCATGTCACACAGAGCTGGTCCATTTCAGTGGGTAGGAGAAGGACTGACTTGGTTGATTTCAGAGTGAAAAATAACACAGACACTCTCGCTTTCTGAAAAGGGCAAAATCACTCTGCACCCCCTATTCCCACTCCGTGCAGTTCAGTAAAGTGTAGTATACTGTCAGCTTTAATTTGGTCACAAAACTAATTTATCTTGTAAGAGAACAGAATTGTAAAAGTCACACAAACTTCTGAGAGTTTGTGATCAATTTTCTTAGCCTTTTTGCCTTCTGCTTTGAAGCTATTTCTCCAGAGGCAGTTTAAAAACGACCCACATCTTCTGACAAGCAGGAGCTGAGACAGGTTTTTACTGTCGTGTTTTTCCCAGAGACGGAAGTCATTTTTAGTCTGAAACCTGATGCGGTGGAGTGAGGATGTCCTGAAATGTACACTGAACTATAGAGGCGACTTTTTGTACTGGCTATCTGCTGCACAGCATGTTTTATCAGCGCAGCTGTGTTTTCTGGAGCAATCTCATCTATGTTGGGCACAATAAATGTGGTATTAATTAAGGATATCACATCACCTGGTGTTTAAAAGTTTTAAAAGTACATGTGGGAATACTGCTGTTTGCAGTAAATCAATAAATAAACTTTTTTTTAAACTGACAGTTAATTAATTTTTACTGCCACTGGGGGGCTGTTACCATGGTAACTCAATTAACCATCCCCAGGCACAGGCTGAGAAAGCAGCTACGATATTTTGATTTAATATTCACAGAATAGTGTTTAATGATATGATATCAGAGCGGTACACTCAGTCACTGTCATAGTTTAAGATTCACGGGAGGCGTAGACATGCTTTGTATATCAATTCTGAATCCATGGATCTGATTTTCTTTGTGACAGGAGGAGGTGCGACCCACCACTGAGCTGGTGCAGTCTCTCATGGGCACACACACCACCTTAGATGCAAAGATGGCTGCCAGCAAAGTTTCTCTGTTCACAGGAACTGCTGCACTGACCCCAGAGGAAGTGGAGGACAACAGGTGAGGTTCCAGAACTAACAGAATGATCTGTTATTAGATGTGACCAAATTTATTGAAGTGACAAATTATTTTGTTTTGGAATAGTTGTGTACAAGTATGTGGCATTCTGATGCGTGCAGCTTATTCTTGTTATAAACATGGAATATTTTCAAAATTAAAAGGGTACTCTTTTTACTATAACTTAAAATCAAAGTCAGCTTTGTCATTTCTTCTGCAGACACATTAAATACAATTAAATACAGACATGCAATGCAAACACTACATTAAACTCTTCTGTATAATATACAATAATTGTGCAACCATTGGGCACAGACAGTAGAGAAAATAGACCAGCTGTTTGTCCACAGCTGCCATAATAATCATGCATGTGTTTTTGTCAGTGCATTGATAATTAACAATTTTAAGTAACACAGCCCCAAACTACAGTTTAGAGATTAAAGTGGCTGTACATAGGAAGTAAAGTGGCTGAGTGCAGAAAGTAAAGTGCAACAGATGAAAGTAGTGTGGTTGAGGTAGCAGTTGAATGAGAATGCGTAAAGGTCCGTCAGGGAGATCCACTCAGCAGTCTGACTGCCTGCGGGAAGAAACTGTTCATGAGTCTAGGTGACTTGGCCTGGATTCTCCGTAATCTTTAACATCAGATGGGAATAGTGCAAACAGTTTGTGTGAAGATTGAGAGGGATCGTTCCTGATACTGCATGCTTTCCTTTGCACTTTTCAGTGTAAATGTCCTTAATGGCAGGCAAGTCTGACCCAGTGGTGTACCGTGCAGTCTTCACTCCCTGCTACAGGGCTTTCTTGTCTGAGATGGAGCAGGTTCCATACCAGAGAGTGATGTTACAAATCAGAATGCTCTCTGAACTGGTTCTCTTCTGCAGAAACAATTGAGGATGAGTGTGCACAGGCCAGCCCTCTTCAATCTCCTTAGGATGTAGAGGTGCTGTTGTGCCTTCTGCACTAAGTTGGAGGTATCCAGGGGCCAAGATAGAGATTGTCAGTGATGTGTACTCTCGGGAATCTGATGTGCAAAAAGATGTGAGACATCTGTGTCCTTCTGAAGTCTACAATCATCTCTTTTGTTTTGGTGATATTGAGAGAGATTGTTGTCCTTGCACCAGAGCTCTAGCTACTTCTTCTCTGTAGACTGTCTTATCTTTGTTATAGCCCAGTGACAGTTTTCTCATCAGCCAACTTGATGTATAAATATTCAGTTTATACATTACAAGAAAGTGTGTAAATCACAACACATTTATTTTAATAATGTGTACTCATACTTGTATTTGGAAGGGTCTCTGAGCTACCTGAGCATTTTTGGTAGATAGTAGGTGGGGGTGGTGCATAGTGATGTAATCAAAAATCAGAAGCTGCTCTAGAGATGGGTTAGTCATTACATTTTGAAGGAAAGGCTTGAGCTGACTGATGATTGTATGAGTAATCACTGATAGATTTTGGCTATCATGTTGGCCATTAGCTTGGACAGTTAAATGTCAGATAATGTGTCATGTGCACAAAAGAAATGTGTGTTAGTGTTGCAATCTGTATTTTCTTTTAACCTATGGTATACGTCCTATCAGTCCTTGTATGTTGACTGGTTTCATAACATTCTATAGCAGCACAAGTGAAACATGAATGAGACTGACATGGTTCTGTCAAAGTTGTTAAAAACTAGTAGACAATTTGACACAGCTTAGCCTAATAACATTTGTAGGCTACAGTAACAGTAGCTTGTAGGCTAACATCACATGGTACACTTGAGCCATTTTAACAATAAGCTTTATAGGCTTCTGTAGCTTTTACCAAATCATGGTAAACAAAGTTAAATTAGCAAGTTAGCAATTTTTTTCACCAGAAACATGGCGTGTTTATTTTTTCCGGTTTAAGCCGGCATCTCAGGGGGTTGTTTGAGAATGGTGGCGTGAATCTCAACTAAAAGGCTCCTCAGTCTATTGGTTAACAGCAGCCTTCCAAGCAATATTTTTGCACCTTTCTCCTAAGTACATTATTTGTTGGAAAGTGCCCCCCCACTATGCTATTATCAGTTATGGGGCTTGACTGGTCAATGGAGTATTGCACATGATCTCACAAGCCTATTTTACATTATCACTTTTTTTTTTGATCAAAGATATCAACAATTTAGGCTCACAAAAATGGTATATTCAATGATTGTCAGAACATGTTTGCTAAATACTCATGGCAAACCACTATAAATGTTTAAAATTCAATGATGGGTAAACTAATAGATGATCTATTAATGACAATAACAATTAATGATTAAAAGCCCTTTCCCCACCAACTGAAGTTGAAGTTGTGCACATCGTTGTAGTTGTAGTAGTAATAGAAATAATAATAATAATATTAGTAAAAGGATTGTATGGGACACTTTTCTAGAATGTTATGTTTTGAACACTGTCATAGTGAAAAAGTTTGGGTTTTTTCGTGTGTTGCATGTTTTTCTTTTGTGTTTGTTTAGCAATGGGAAGCAAGGCCCCGTGGAGAGTCGCGTGTGGGACGCTGAGACTCAGAGAGAGAGGAGGAAGGCTATTTTCGCTGAGGAAGAAGAGGAAGATGATGATGAAGGAAGTGATGAGGAGGAGTCGGAAGAAGAGGATAATGAAGAGCTGGAGAGTGAAGAAGAAGAAGAAGAAGAAGAAGAGGAGATGGAGGAAGAGACTGAACAGGAGAAGAAGGAGGTGAGAGAGGAGAAGAAAGCCGTGAAAGAGGACGCTCCCCCTATAAAAAGACAAAAACTGGAGGAGAAGGCACAGGGGAGCGGGGCAGTGGTGGAGATGCCGGTGTTTGCAGACAGTGAGGATGAGTTGGAGAAGAGTGAGGGAGAGGAAGAGGCTGAAGAAGAAAAGTCAGACGAGGATGACGAGGAAGACGAAGAAGAGGAGGAGATAGAGGAAGAGGAGAAGAAGAAAGATAGGAAAGGCTCAGCACCTCCAGACTCTGGACACTGCTCTGAGGAGGATACTGATAGCGATGATGAAGAAGAGGATGATGACAGTGAAGTGGAAGATGACGAAGAGGAAGAGGAAGACGGCTCAGAGGTGGAAGAACAAGGAAATGTTAAAGCACCTGGAAAAGAGGCCGCAAAGTCAAAGATGGTCCCTGCTGATGAAGAGGTAAAGATGGATGTTGAAGAAGAGGAAACAGAGCCAGAATCGGAAACTGCAGGTATTTTTTTCAGTACAGCTGGGGGCTCAAACAGAAGCAGATACTTTGATACATTTCTCAGAGATTCATGTTATTGACTATTTTGGTCTGGTCCTATTGTCTGTGTGCACTTCTGTGCTGTTTTTAATTTGAATTCTCGTGGTAATGCCTGCTTATTAGGAGCATTACGGTGGAAAGAAGATTTGGCCCAGAAAGCCACAGAAGCATATTTGAGACGACAGCGTGCTGCTCCTAACCTGCGCAAGCTGGTTTATGGAACAGGTGAGTGAGCAAATCACTAGTTGACATTGATTATGATGGTATAACATTACGGTACACAACTGTTCAGTAGATTGAAATCCCTTCACATTAATGTCTATATTAACTTACTCAAGATCTGTGTAAAACCTATAAACTACAGTTCATTTTACATGTGTTATTGCAGTCATTTCATGTTTCAGGTTATCTATCTCAACATTTGATTGTCACATTTGATATGCAAGGAATTCTGGATAATAGTGGTATTTTAAAAACTTAATTATATTAGAAACTACTTAGTTTCAAGCTGTTAAGTTGTACAGGACCAGCATACATGAATACATTTTGTGAAATACAGTGAAATATTATCCCTGGTGATCCAGGATGCTTGTCAGAAGTAGCTATAGTAACTACACCCAAAAAAAAAGGCCATAATGATTTTGTTGTTGAAAAGGGGGATTCAAAATGTTTGATGTGTACTATGTATATGGGCGTGTTTTTTCAGTCTGCTGATTCATTTGAAAACAAAGAAATACAGCTTTTAGACAACAGTTTAATGAATGAGGCCCATTGCGTGTGCCATGATAAACACAAAACCCCGGCTCTTTTGACTAGAAGACAGATTGTATCTCTAATTTGTTTGTTTTCTCAGTGGTGGAGGAGGAAGAGGATGGTGACAATGAGGAAGAGGAGCTGGGAGGTCTTTTCCGAGTTAGTCGGCCTGAGAAAAGTAAAAAAGTTAGAGCAGACGCCGTAGACTGCTCACGTTTCCAGCCGGATGCTGGACATGACTGGGACCAGGAAGAGGTAAGAAACATGACCAACGTACAGTCCTCATCAAGCTCACATTGTTACAGCTGTTTAAGTGAATAAGAGATATTCTATATCTTTGTCCTATAAGTCCTATATGTACAGTAATGAGGGTCATGTTTTCAGATGCTGGCCTCCATAAGGGACTGCTTTGTCACTGGCAAATGGGAGGGAGACAAAGACGCTTCTACTCTACTTAAAGAAGATGGTAAGGAAATTTTTAGCCCAATTGTTAAACCAGCTTGACTGGCTATTTCTTTGTTACTGTTTTTTTTAATCTACTTCTTGCATTTAAGATGAGCTGTACGGAGACTTTGAAGACTTGGAAACTGGAGAGGTTCACAAAGCAAAGGGAGACAAAACTGAGGTGAGGTTTGAAAATAAAACTAATTTTCTCATATAGAATCATATTGGTTTTATCTTTAGGTTTGTTTGACCTTCATGTTGGTCTGCATCTCTTGTGTATGTTTTAATGAATATGTATTTTATTATGTGCAGGAGGAAAATGATGACGATGATGAAGAAAATGAGGAAGAGGAGGCTCCGTTAGTTAAGGTTGATGATGCTGAAGCTCAGAAGAACAAGCGTCTGGAGAAGAAGAAGAGACTGAAGGAGAGGTTTGATACAGAATATGATGATGGAGATGCCACATATTTCGATGACCTCAAGGAGGAGAAGCAGAAACAGGCTGAGGTCAGACATTTTGCCATCTACCATCTGCATTCTTGTATGCTTTTCTCTTAGGTGTCTCGTTCACTTTGGGATGCGCCACATATTTGTCTTTTCATGATATGTTGTCATCATACGCTTTTCTAAACATATCAACGATATTGTCAGTGCTAAAGGAAGAACGACCACGTTTCATCACAAATAGAGCATGATTAGTACTGGTTAATGGGATTTAGTGGAAAGCAATATGTGAAAAGTTGGGTGTGGCTCCTTTGTTTGTATTTTTTTTTTTTAATGTCTCTTTCAGCTAGAAATGGAAGGATCGATAGGCTGTTTATCGGTATCGGCCAATTTTCAGCCCAGAAGTGCAATATGCTGATATTCTTCTAACTTAGCTGATCCTGCATAAAACATATGAGCCATATTTTGCCTCAGCCACCACAGTGTAACTGCTGCATCATTTAAGGTGGAACGGGAAATTGGCTAATAGAAAGCCAAATTCAGCCTTGTCTATTTCTCAGATGAAAAACAAAGTGTATTAAATATTTGTCTTCCATTTTACTGTAAACTTGCTGTGTGAATGTGCAAAGCTGTAATTAATGCGGTTGTCAAGGCTGTGAGGATTCGTTTTTGTTAACACATTAGCATTCGAGTGCTAATCTTAGATTAGCTTACCCTGCATTTCATGACCTACAGCTTTGGCAGGGACTGATAGAAGAAATAAGATGCAGAACTACTAAATCAATTGTGTATCAGCCCTTTTAGCCTTTTCAGTATATTTAAAAACCCATCTGTGAAGCAGGAGGACGATTTTGTCCTGTTAGCTGCCCCTGTTATGTAGACTCCGGTTATTTCAGTGGTTACTGCTGCACCATTGCACCATTTAAGGTGCATTAAAGAACCATTAAAGAACAAGAAGCTGGTGAAAAAGAAGCTGACTTCAGCTTCGAGAGTTGAAAAGCATGAAAAGGGACGAAAATATTCTGTTTCTGCTTGACAGGCGCATAACTTTAACTTAGTTTTGCTGTTTCACAGAATCACTAGGTCAGTATTTTATTGTCCTATTTATTAATGTTTGTCTTTGGCTTTGCGGTAGCTACTGTAGTAACAGTTTGCTAACCCACAACCTAGCTAACGTTAGTTATTTACACTACTTGCTGTGCTCTAACGTTATATCATGGCATTTGTCCGTGTCAGGATTGCAAAAGGTTTTATGGCCACGAAGATTTAAAAAATTGTTGTTTGCCTTGGCAGTGTGCATCCATGAATTTTGGGGGGCTGAGCTTCTGAAAGAGCACTGAAAGGAGGAGCAATCATCACTCTTTATTCATAATTTGTATTGTTACATTCCACATTTATCTGGTTGAATTAACTTATTCTATTGGCAGATTATTTAGTTTCAAGCATTTTCATAATTTTATAATCTTTCTCATTATTTTATAATATTCTAACAACAGCATCATAATGAGAATTATTAGGTATATTAACTGTTTATAAGATTAATTCACTTGGCCGTATATTAGTTTTTTGCACTTCCTCCCCTAATTATATAAATAATTCTTGCACACTTGGAGGTTTGAAATTATTTGAAATAAGCGTAATTGTGAACATACAACAGCATGCTAACATTTTGTTTTATTTTTGTCCATTTATGGTCATTTTTATGTGTGTATATATACACAAGCACAATCCCATTTCCAGAAAAGTTGGGACGCTGTGCAAAATGTAAATAAAAATAGAATGCAATGATATGCAAATCATGTAAACCATATTTTTAAAGGAAAACACTACAAAGACCATATATAAAATGTTGAAACTGAGAAATTTGATTGTTTTTTGAAAAATATATGCCCATTTTGAATTTGATGTCAGTGTTTCATCACCTCTGTCAGACCACAGGACACTTCTCCACTTCACCTCAGTCCATTTTAAATGAGCTCGGGCCCAGAGAGGGTGGCATCATTTCTGTATCCTGTTTGTGTACTGTTTCTTCTTTGTGTTTGAGTTTTAATTCGCATTTGTGGATGCAGAGATGAACTGTTTTCACAGACAGTGGTTTTCAGAAGTGTTCTTGAGCCCATGCAGTGATTTCCATTACAGAATCATGTCTGCTTTTAATGCAGTGCCGTCTGAGGGCCCAAAGATCTTGGCCTGCAAATACTGGTTTTTGGCCTTGTCCCTTGCATACAGAGATTTCTTGATATTCTCTGAATCTTTTAATGTTATGTACCGTAGATGATGATAAGCAAAAGTTCTTTGCTATTTTATGTTGAAAAATGTTATTCTTGAGTTGTTGCACTATTTGATCATGTAGTCTTTCACAGAGTGGTGAACCCCTCCTCAGCTTTATTCTGAAAGATTCAGCCTCTTTGAGGTGTGTGTTTTAAGCATTACACAACTTTACCAGTCTTTTGTTGCCACCGTACCAGCTTTTTTGGAACGTGTTGTTGGCATCAAATTCAAAATGGGCAAATATTTTTCAGAAAACAATAACATTTCTCAGTTCAACATTTGATATGTTGTCTTTGTACTATTTTCAATGAAATATAGGGTTTAAATGATTTGCACATCATTGCATTTTGTTTTTATCTACATTTTGCAAAGCATCTTTGCAAAAAAAACTTTTTTAGAAATGAGGTTGTAAGCATAAATGTGAACATACAACAGCATGCTATTATTTTGTATTATATTTGTCTATTTATGGTATTTAGTGATGTTATTTACCCTTGAGTTTTTGGTCACTATTTGTAAAATGTGAAGCATTCTGGATCATATTTTTTTGTGTCAGTTTAATTTTAGTAACTTGATGCTAAACAGATTTCTCAGTCATTTTAGAGAAATATGAATGTGTGTATAATTTACAAGGGTGATGCTCTGCTAATAGAGAATCCCTCCTCTTCCCAAGATAATGTTATACGAAACTGAAGAGAGATCCATATTTTGAGTGGTGACATTGGTGTCATTTTTGCATATTCAGATTTCTTTCACTGGTAGCCAGCAGTGGGCTAAATAGGTTAATGTGTAAATGATCACAGTTAGTAATGAAGATAACGAGCATCCGTTTAGTGTGAGTCTGAAATTGATGGACAACATGTTTTCTGTGGACTGATATGAGTGCTAAGAGAGATAAATGACCATCTACAAATCACATCACAAAAGGTGGTCAGGGTCCAAGTGCTACATGCCTTATGGAACCACTAGAACACAAATGATCTACAAAGTTTTTAGAATTGATGTGGGGTCGAAAAAGAAGATCTCTGCCGAATACACACTCATACACACATACCTTTTGAACTTAAGCAATAGATTTTTTATAAATAAGTCAAAATACCTCAAAAACAGTACAGTATTTCGAGTAGTAGTTGAACTCGGTGAACTAATGATTCCATAGCAGTTGCACTGGTATTGTAGTGTCGTAGTGCACCAGAATGTAATGTTAAATTCTCTAAGTTCCTTCTAGAAATGATGCTTCCAAACCCTTTTTCACTGCCCAGTTGTTTTCATGTGTGAACACACAATTCTCCTTTTTATTTATTTATTTATTTATTTATTTTCTAAATAACTTCTGTAGTTTTTAGCTTGTTTCTACTTATGTGAAAGTTGTGAAGTTGCGGGACTAGCATTTTAGCATCATTTTATACTTTTTCTGCACCCAAACTTATTCCAAATCCAAAACAGTGATGTGTATATGGAGACTGTCTTCTCTGTCTGTCTGCAGCTGAACAGAGCTGAGTTTGAGGACATGGATGATGAAACTCGAGTTCAATACGAGGGATTCAGGCCAGGCATGTATGTGCGTCTGGAGATTCCTGCTCTGCCATGTGAGTTTGTCACCAACTTCGACCCCCACTATCCCATCATCCTTGGAGGTTTGGGAGCCAGTGAAGGCAACATAGGCTACCTGCAGGTAAGCTTCAGAACTTGACTACCAGAGATGCTCTTTTTACCCAGCCTTTAAGGAAGTTTATGCCATTTTGGATGATTTTTTAAGCTGGTGAACATCAGATATTAACAGTTAAAATGGAAAATAGGTAGAAATCAATTCTGCTGCTGAAACAAAGCATAGCACATTCTGTTTTTGCTCATTTCTTTGCCTTTCCCTCTTCTTCTGTTGGGAAACAGATGCGTTTGAAGAAACATCGCTGGTATAACCGCATCCTAAAGACCCGGGACCCGCTCATCCTGTCCCTGGGCTGGAGGCGTTTCCAGACCATCCCCCTGTACCACATTGAGGACCACAACGGCCGCCACCGCCTGCTCAAATATACTCCTGAACACATGCACTGTGGTGCCTCCATCTGGGGTAAGAGTCACAATGCAGACACAGAGCAGGCTACCATGAGGACGAAATATTTCTTATGTGAAACTCTTGACTTTTGTGGATTTTTTTTTTTTTTTTTTCCCTCACTTAACTGGAATTATTTCCAGGGAAAAATAGTGCAGTTTTAAATGCATTTATAAAGTGACAGGATTTTCTATGTATAACCTCTCCTGCAACCAACCAAGAAAAATAATGATAGCAAAGTGGTGTATATACAGTCAACTCCATAATTATTGGCATCCTTGGTAAAAATAGGTTAAAAATAGGCTTGAAAAATGTCTTTGTGGTTAATTAGTCTCACTCCGACAGTATGAGAGAAACCTAACCTTTTAATTAAGGGAAATTTGGTCTACGTGTGACAGTTGTTGAAATTCTTATGAACAAAAATGTAACTGAAGTCTGATCCCACATGAGTGTTCAGCTCAAGCCAAGTGGTCATCCATGACTTCCTGTTTTACTGTGGTATATCAACGTGGGCAAGATCAGGTTCAGGTGTTTCAGCCACACTCACAATCTCCATAGACAAACACTGTCCGTAGAATTGCTCTTACTGAAGAGCTCAGTGACTTTGGCGCTGTCATAGGATGCCAGCTTTTATTTTGCAAAATTTCTGTCCTGCTAGATCTGCCCCAGTCTACTGTAAGTGTAATTATTGTGAAATGGAAGCATCTAGGAGCAGCAAGAGCTCAGCCACAAGGCGGTAGACCGTTGAGAAAATGTGTAACATGTAAAAAGCTATGTTGCTTCACTCACTGCAGAGTTCCTGCGTCTGATAACAATATTAGTGCAAGAACTGTGCATCTGGACCTTCATGAAATGGGTTTCCCTGCCTGAGCAGCTGCACACAAGCGTAAGATCACTGTGCGCAATGCCAAGTGTCAGCTGAAGGGGTGTAAAGCATGCCACCATTAGACTCTGAAACAGTGGAGACATGTTCTCTGGAGTAATGACGCATGCTTTTGTCTCTGACGGTCTGATGGCCTAATCTGAGTCTTCTCATCCAACATCAGTGTCTGACATCACAAATGCTCTTTTGACTGAATGGGCACAAATTCCTACAGACACTTTCCAGAAGAGGGGAGGCTGTTACAGCTGCATATTGGCTTCATACTAATGCCTGTGGTTTTGGAATGGGATATCCAACTGGCTCACATAGGTGTGATGCTCAGATGTCTGTATACTTTTGGCCATATAGTGTGCATTAACATATAAAGCACTTTTCTGTGCGATAAAACTTGTTCAGCAGGAAATAATATCAGTTCTTGTACATTTGGCGTATACTGATTGTGAATCTGATTACGTACAGAATTTTCATGGCTGTATGTCAGTTTGATAGAAACGAGCTGCCAGCAGCAAAATTTTATTTATTTATTTATTTTACATTTTATCATCTGCAATGGAAACCCAGCTAGAATGAACTCTTCACAGATAACAGCCCAATAACTGATATTTCTCTGAACTCCTCTAACTGATCAGCATTTCTCTCCTCCTTCTCACACTCTTTCTCTCTCTTCCCCTCCCAACTCCCCCCTCTGTATCCCCTCTCTCAGGGCCCATCACACCTCAGGGGACAGGCTTCCTGGCTGTTCAGAGTGTTGCAGGGACTCAGGTAAGAGCTTTAATACTGAGATGGGTAAAGTACAAAAAGTAGCAGAGCAGTACCAGTCATAAGTTCAATCCAGGATTCTAGTTTGATAGCTGCTGTGGTTTCCTTTCTTTTTTTTTTTTCTCTGAATTTTCTCTGAATCCATTTCTCTTCGCTTCCCTCAGGCAAATTTCCGCATCGCAGCCACTGGAGTCGTCCTGGACTTGGACAAATCTGTGACCGTTGTGAAGAAACTGAAGCTAATCGGATACCCTTATAAGATTTTTAAGAACACATGCTTTATCCAGGTAGGTGGTGCTGCAGAGTCAGGCAGTTCTCTATAGCTGTGGTAGCACAGCTCAAAAAGGGAGCTGCAAAAACCTGCTCCTGAAATGTCAGCAGCTTTCTGGCTTTGGAGGAGTGCAGTTTTCCCAGTACTTGGGCCATCCTCTCAGACTGCACCTGCTGAAAGCTCTGCATAGCAGTGTAATAGCAGGTCCTACAGCTGGGATTTGGATTTGAGTTGAAACTATGTTGTATGCCATCTGTGGGCACCCGCCGTTGGAGGATGTAATTAAGCGTGTTCTTGTTGTGTCGCTGGGTCTAGCAGTGCAACAGCCTGTTGGGGGGCCAGCACTTGACCTTTTCATTCCATTTGGCTGAAAGTTGATGCAGAGGCAGGTTTTTTATGCATCAGTGGAGGCGTATGCTAGTCTTTGGCCTACCAGATTGGAAGTACTGTCATGCAGAAGGTGAGAAACAGGAAATACTGAGGCTAAATTGAGAGATAAAAAGGAGAAGAAAAAAACTGCTTAAAAAGTTGGTTAAAACTGTCTGTTTTGTTGTTTCTTCCTGTCATTCAGGGAATGTTCAACACACTACCATTTTGTAGTGATGTGTATACAGTACCATTTCAAGTGGCAACTAAAATAAAAAGTAGCTTGCTCCTCTCTATTTGCTTTGAATGCGCTGTTAACACAAATGCCACTTTTATAGCAGAAGTGATGTAGCACACTATTCCATAATGCTTTTGTTTTAGGCTGTAACAACTAATGATTTCCATAATTAATGATTCAGTTTATTATTGCTTCGTTTAATCGGCAAAAGAAAAAGTGCAACCAGTAGTCTGCACATGACTAAATATTTCATGTCAGTGTTTCCTTCATCAAATTAAAAATACAGGGACTATTCCTACATTTGCACAGTGCTCTTTAAAACATTAACCGCTTACCTTACCTTCCAAACCATGCTCTACTAAATCATACCTGCCTATAGATACCTTCTGCACTGTGCAAAAATGTTTTTGTACTCAGTGTGAAAGGTGCAGAAACAGTAAAGTAACAACGCATAAACAAATCTTAGAAGGCAGTCCAAGCATCATTAGTAGTTTGGAAGTAGTTTGATTCTGCAAGAACTCTGCATTGCCGTTTAAATTATTTCTCCTGTAATGATAAATCAAACATAAATGAATTAGTGTGGTTGTAACATCATGTAATCAAACCTGATATTACTGAGCACGCGGAAACAGCTTGGTAATCTGCCATGTCAGATACGCAGGGCCATAAAGCATCTTCACCACCACGTCTTTGTTTTCCTGCAGGCTGGAGGCCATAATGGGGAGCAAGAAAGTACGCTTTCAACAAAATCTATATCTGTGACGAGTAGGTCTCTGTGCATTAGCGCACTAGCAGCGAATAAATAGAATTTAACTGTGCAGTTCAGACGAAAATGCAGCTCCTTCCTTCCATTAATAGTGTTTGTTTTATTAAACCAAAACAGAGCACACTGAAAAGCCGACAACAGCACACTGTTTTTAACACGTTTTTTTGTTATTGACATTACATTGATAATAATGCTTAAAACTGTAATTGTGATAATGCTAAAAAAACTGGAAATATCTGGCTCCTTCAGGGCACATTTAGACTGTGATGTTATGGAAACAGTTGTCTACTTTAGAACCTGCAGTCCCTCATGTTAGTGTCGTCCACACCAAACAAAGTCGGTGTGAAAGCGTCCTTAGAAACTTCTCCATCTCCGGCTAGCTAACCGCCTGCAACGGAGTGCCTGCGGCTGTGTTGTCTCAAACTGATGACTTTAATTAGCCTCCCCCTGTGATGTTTTTATTTGTATGTCTCTATTAATATTTATATTGTGTATAATTTAACAAAGGATTGATCTTACTTATTGTTGATCATTTTTTCATGTTATTATGACTTAAAGTCCTGTTACTGGCTCAGTACGAACTACTGCCCTGTCAGTACAGGCCCACAGACCGCTAGAGGTTTCTTCATGGCTCAGCGGTTGAGAAACCTTGTACTAGCCTTAGCCCTACCAAACTGAAGGTACTGCCATGCAGAAAGTGAGAAACAGGAAATAGTGGACATGGAATGTGGCTAAATTGGGAGGTAAAAAGAGAGAGAAAGTTGAATAACCAGTGCTGAAAAAACTTGGACAGAAGTGTCTGTTTTTTGTTTTTTTTTCAGGGAACAATGTTTTTAACAAAGTACCATTTTGTAGTGTTGTAAGTTTATTACCATTTCAAATAGCTCTAACGTGCAAAGAAGCTTGCTCCTTTCTCTTTGCTTTGAATGTGCTATGACCACAAATGCCGCTTTTAAACTAGAAGATGTGTGACGCAGCACACTATTCTATAATTATTTTGTTTTCTTGCTGCTCGTGACTGAAAATCGTGATGGAACTCTAGGCAGGCACAAAGTGTGATAACCATGTCCTCATATTTTACATGCAGCTATTTTAATCATGTACTACCAGATTGGAGGTGCTGTCATTCAGAAGCTAAGAAACGGGAAATGCCGACCACTAGATGTGATTAAATTGGGAGTAAAAAATGGCCAAAGTTGAATACTCAGTGCTTTAAAAATAGCTGTTATCTTGTGTCAAAACAATCTCTCTTTCTGTCTTTTCTTTCTCCCTCTCTCTCTCAGGGAATGTTTAACACAGTGCTTGAGGTTGCCAAGTTTGAGGGCGCCTCCATCCGGACAGTCAGTGGGCTCAAAGGTCAGATAAAAAAGGCTCTGCGCACTCCGTCTGGGGCCTTCCGCGCCACGTTTGAGGACAGGGTCCTCATGAGTGGTGAGTACTATCTGCTTGGCAATGAATAGCTCTGTGCTACTCTGTGATGAGTTTGGCGTTGGTGTGCTTTGTCTTGCCTTGGATGTTTTTCACTGCAGGGACACTTTTTTTTATTTGGATCTGCATATAACTGTGTCATGAAAGTCTCAGGGTGTGCCGTAGGGACTGGTATTTGTCTTCCAAAGTCACCAGGAAAGCTTGTGGAAGTAATGGCTCCCAAAAGGCCCATTCAGCACAAAATGGAAATTATTACCACTTGTGATGCCACCCTTTGTAGAGAAGAGCACATAGAAAACTGTGCATCAGCACACTTCTAAAGCCTTTCTGTGTTTACTATATGCTGCACTGTAGGGATGGGATGGGATGAACATTTCTCATAATGTTTGTGACCGGTGTTTTTATTTAAAAAATGTTTAAAAGAGCATTAATAGACATTGAAATCATTCACCATGATTACTACATTGAGGTGACATTCTACTGTTATGAAATATGACATTGCCAACACTATTAGTGTTTGTTGTTGAGATTATATGTATGTAAATATGCGTTGTGTGCTTTCTAGCAGTAGGCCAGTCACATCCAGCATGACTTCTAATGATGATGTAATTGCATGTCGGAATTAATACAGTTTGAAATGGTGTGATTATCATTGAGCTTAATGATGCTATCTATTACAACTGGTGACCATCCTATTAAAACTACATTAATATTTGTGTGTGTGTGTGTAGATATTGTATTCCTACGGTCCTGGTACCCTGTGTCGGTCCCACAGCTGTATAACCCAGTGACATCTCTGCTGATGCCAGTTGGTCAGAAAGACGCATGGACAGGTATGAGGACAGTTGGACAGCTCAAGCATGACTTGGGGATAAAAAACAAGCCCAACAACGACTCTCTCTACAAGGTAAGGCTAAATCCCTGCTGGAAAATCGGTAAAACAACACAGCAACAACAACAATTTTTTAAGTTCTAATTTACTGTAAATGTACTATTTGATTCAGAATTGCGATCATGAATGGCAGGAATAAATATATTCTCTCCTTGTTTCCTCTAGCCGGTGGTGAGGCAAAAGCGCCACTTCAACCCACTGCACATTCCCAAAGCGCTGCAGAAGGCCCTGCCCTTCAAGAGCAAGCCTAAAAACCAGGAAGCCAAGGGCAAAACACCCCGAGACCTCCATAGACCTGCTGTAATCCGGGAGCCCCACGAGAGGAAGGTAAGGAGCAGAGGCTGACCCGCTATCCTGCCCTGAACACGGGCTTTATGCATCACTAACTGAATTTAATACTATTTTCCTGTCGTTTCAAACGTGTTCTAATACCTATCATTAGACTAAAGTTAATCCACCGAGGATGCCTCCAGAGCACTGGCTTTCTAAATATCACATTTCTTTAATCCTTGTCCCTGGCAAATACCACAGACAGCTTGCTGGCCAATTTCTGAACCAATCCCCATGAAATCTCTTAAACAATCCCTGCTCTTAAACAGGACAGATGATGTAGTATTTTCAGCTGGTAGATACATTTTTTTTCCTTACTTGCTCCGTCATGTTTATGCCATTTTAAATGGTGGGATGCCAACAAATTATTCAGTGATTTTCTATATTTTGACCTTACACACTCATTAAATCATTTTTTCTTGTAGCAGCACAGATGCTCTCTTAAAATCCGGGAGGAATTCTTCTTATTGTTGTTTAAATCTCAGCATACGTGGAGGGTTTTAGCCACATTTGCACCAAAGTTTGCAGTTCCATTTTAGAAGGGAAACAAATAAACAGGTGTGGCATTTCATAGGCATTCTCATCATCCAGAATGACAGTAAAACTTGCATGAGAAACCATAATGAATTAAGTGGACATAGCGATTAATTTATTAGTTTAAAAATTGATACATGCTTTTACATTAGTTTATGTTTTGAAGAGAATAATTTAGAGCACACCTTATGCTTTGAGTTTATCAAAGTACCCTTTAATACATTTTAATTAAAGGAAAAGGCTCCTCTGCAGAATGCCACTGAGTGCTGTTTTTATTTTTTATTCTGTTTGTTTTGGAGAGTTAAGTTCTTGGAAGTAGCCTTATGGTCTTGTATAACAATTCTTCTGTCCACTAGGTGGCAGCATTGCTCACTGCTCTGGGTACAGTTTATAATCACAAGAACAAGAAGGCCCAGGCGGAGCAGCACACGAAGCACAAAGACTTCCTGAAGCAGAAGGAGAAGGAGGAGGAGGCGAAGCAGAGGAGGCTGAAGGAAGAGCGAAAGAAGATCTACCGTGCCATGGGACAGAAGGAGAAGAAGAAGCTCAAGTCCAGCCTGAAGGGAGCTTCTAAGGATGACTGAGCATGTGCAGAGCTCATACTGTACCTAGCCTGCTTCACTTTCATTTGGGCTGTTTTAATATGAGTCAGTGACTCATTCCTGATGCCAGCTGGTCTGTGTGGTGAGGATCCAGTGTTTGGATTTGCATAGTCATGTGAAAGGCTGGCATTCTGTGTCTTTAAAAAAATACTGCCTCCACATGAGCCGGAACTGCCTGCAGCTACTGCCTGCATGAGACTGAAAGTACTGTGGGACAATCTCTGAATCGTGGAAGAGTGTATAGACTTCTTATTGACATCCATCATATCAGTTTAATACCATACAAGTGGTTCATAATGTTCATTTAATAAAAAAAAATCAGTATTTTTCTGACAACACTGTTTTTTGAAGGTCCTTAAAAGGCTGCCTAAAAGTAAAAGTGAGCCCATTTCATCTGACAATAGCTCTTTGTAGAGTTTTGACATCACTAACCATCACTAATCACTAGGACAAATAACGTTTAAAAATTGCAGCTGCTAGCTGTTGACTCAGATCTGTAGGAGTAGCGGCAGCAGTCAGTGGATTATCTCTGGTCTTCCAGGACATCGTCTTCACAAACATGTCTGGAAGCAATTGTGCTGTGTATTGTAAATGCCAGCAAGGCAGGCCATCATGAGGCTGAAAAATCAGTATAAATCAAGACCTACAAAAAGCACTAGGTGTCGGTTTCATGGCCAGGGATTAAGCCTAGTCCCAGATCACTTTTTCAGTTCAGTGGAAAACCTCCATCCAGAATACTGTGTAGTCCAGGTGTAGACTTAATCCCTGTCTGAGTAACTGTGTGTGAAAATTAAATGTTTGGTACCTTGTTAAGAAGCAAGAGTGCCCTAGTAAGCTTCGCAACAGCAGACCATGGAAAACCACAGTAGTCACTGAATTGTGAAGAAAATACTGTTAACCAAAAACACTGTTCAGTTTCTAGACAGTTTGGGGTGAAACTTTATTTGAACACTGCTATATAATATTGGCATAACCATGCCGTAAACATGTCATGGCAGATTGTGTCCAGTAATATAACAGTGTCTTGTTAATTGTGATGACCTGTGTCATAGTGTTTGATGTCATGACGGCTGACTAGAGTACATCTAGCAAAAATTAGCATGTGACATAAGATGGACCCCAATTTAGAAAAATAAATAAATAATAATAGTCATAATTTATATTGCAGTCACAAAATTGATCAGAAAAATTGCAGTTAGATATTTTTCAAGTTGTTCATCCCTAAGGGTAAGCATAAAAAGGTCACAGACTGTTAAAACGTTCACGAAGCCTGTACAGTAGTGATGCGTGATCGGCCAAGATCAGAATGGGCATGTTTTTGCTCCCATCATGCAATCAGCTATTGACGAATTTATTATTTTGATTTCGGTTGGTAAATGGTGCAATTTTATGATTTGAATGCTGCTGCTACGCAGAAGTGCTGTGGTATTATTATATAAATGACTCATTGTGCTAACAGCCAGTTTTCTCGTACATTATTATTTGATTCGTGTTATTTAAATAGGCAACAGTCTTAGTGACAAATGAAATGAAGGTCCAGGACGGCTGCTTGGATGAAAGTTTAGAGAAACTGTTCATGATCCAAATCACGCCATCTCGTCTGTGAAACATGGTGGCATGGATGTGTATGGCTGCTGGAGAAATTGAATGTTTACTGATGATGTTACTGCTGATGGCAGCATCAGGATGAATTCTGACATTCTGACAGAAATACCTGCTCAGATCCTGTATCAGGTGCCTCAAAACTCAGTGAATGATGCCTGACCTTGCAGCAGGACAATGACCTGAAATATAGTACTAAGCCATCTTTTAGGGGGGTTTCAGGGACAAAAAGTGAAACGTTCTTTCGTTCAGTCAGTCACCCCACCTGAACGCTATTAAGTATGCATTTGACTGAAGATGGGAAAAGCTCCTGAAACAGGCAGGAATTGAAGTGGCTACATTAGAAATCTGGCAGAGCATCAACAGAGACGGTACTCAGTGTCTGTTGATGTCTATCCGTGACAGGGTACAGTTGTCAACTGTGAAGAGTTTGCAACCAAATACTAAAATGTTTTGCTTAAGGTTGTGTCCATTCATCCAGTTTGTTATGGACTGTGTATTAAAAGAGCTGTGATTCTGATGTGGATTACCCAATACATATGTAAATGTTTTTTAAAATGCAAACATTTACAAATATGCTGAAGCATAAACTGAGTGGGCCCCATATTAAGTACGCCTCTCTGTTCCATGAAAGACTGTGTGTGTAGGTAGGCTTGTGCCTAAGGCTTGAGAATATGAGCAATTCAACAGGAGAAAATTGGTATATTTATTTGACATTGAAAGAGTTTCATTACTTTATAACATTTGACAACTGATCATATTTTGAGGTCACATATTGTTTTCCATAATTTTATGAATATGCAGTTGCTGCATTAGCCAGTACATTCAAAATAATAGTTGGAACGACTTGTGTTTTTGATAAAATGTTTATATCCAGTGATTTAGTATCAAGCAAATAGCTTGATTGATCTAAGATATGAATGTTTCTTTAAATTTCATGTTTCCCAGCTTCTAAAGGCTTGTGAAAGTACTGCATAGTTTCCAGCTGTACTGTAAGTTTCAGCCTCTTAGGTATTTCTTTGCCCCCTCCTCCACACGAAACTGTTTCAACTATTTGAGAGCTCAGATGTACAGTACAGCCTGCTGAAAGTCCTCTACGCAGCATCTGAGTCGGGTTCTTCTGTCTGAGCTTTGTCTTGCCCTGTCAGAAACTTCATTTCTTCTTTTTGAGCTGTTCTGTAGTAGTTTTGTTTAAGCGTTATCAGATTTTGACAGATTGCCTTCTTCTGAAGTTAAGACATTCTTCTGAAGTATTCTCTGGTACACTGTGGAATTTGTTTGGCGCGGTAATAACAAAACTGCCAAGGCATGGAAGTACCATGGAAATTGAACCCTAATGTTTCTAGCAGTGTTTTACATTTAGCATGACTTTCTTTTTGTTCAAATCTTAGTTTGCAGCAAACATCGCACTGTGCTTTGCGACTAAAACCCCAGTGCACTCCAAGAATGCATCTTGAGCCAGACACTGGGAGCAAGACTCTGAGGACACGCTGCTTCTAATTCAGCACATCTGTCAAGAGCAAGCTGTTCCACAAGCCTTGTTCTACACCCAGGTGGTTTATCTAACAACATTTAGTCCTGCATTGGTGGTGTTCTTTGAGAACAGAACATCTTCATTTTGATGTCCCATACTAACTGGGTTTATGACGCTTTCTGACAGCTGACTCATGTATCATTATGCTGATTGTGGCAGGAGATACCTGTAGATCAGGGATGCACAACTCTGGTCCTGGAAGGCTGGTGTACAGCACAGTTTGGAGGTTTTCCTACCCAGACACACCCACTTAACCTGGCAATTAACAGATGAGTGTAATCAGGTGTGATTGAGCAGCTAAATCTCCAAACTGTGCGGGACAACAGCCCAGAGTTGTGCACCCCTGCTGTAGACCTTTTAATGTTAAGAGGGAATTCTGCATAATTCAGTTGTTCAGATGTAAACAGTCATTCAGAGTCGTTTGATGTGAAATTCTAGAGAGTCTTCCCAAATCTCTTTACATTGGTGGTGATAGGAACCATAGGTCAATGTCTACATCACCAATTCAGCCGTTTTATTTACTGTCCAAAATCACCAGTGAACCTACACGTCTTCTGAGACCTGTAAGGTAATGCGGATGATGGTAAAATAGTAGTAAAAAATCTGAAAAGATAAGTCTTTGAGGACTATTTTGCTGTACAATGCTCTACATGTACCTCTCCACCATAAGTATTTAAAAAAATAATACATTTCTTTCCAAAACTTCTAACAAATCTATGGTAAAACAATGTCTCAGGCATCAGGCAGCATATTAGTTATCAATTCATGTGATAACTTTTTGTGATGTAGCTTTTAGGCATTAAACCTCTTTAATGCCTAAAAGCTTCCTTCGCAAAAAGTTAATTCCACCATTTTTTCTGAATTTCTTAATTCAAATGTTGAGGTGTAATCAATGTAATTCAGAAATGGTTAATTCTGAAATGGTTAATTCTAGAAAAAGATACAGACTCTGATTTGTTTACAGTGGTGCTGACAGGAACCAGGAGTAATGATGTCTGCAATGCAAATGTAGCCAGTTTATTTACAAAACCACCAGTGAACTTGGGTCTTCTAACTATTTATATGTCATTTTAATCATGGTAAACAAATTAAATCTGAAAAAATACACTTTCTTTGGGGACTATTTTGACTTACAGTGCCCTATATGTACCCCTCCACCATTAATAGATTTCAAAATACGTTTTAGGCCAAAACCCTATTTCAAGAAGGCATTATAAAATAATATTTCAGGCATCTGGCAGCATGTTTGTAATTCATGTGACATTGCTTTTAGAAGCATTAAACAGCTTGAATGTGTTGATCCTATCACTACCACTGGGAACTATTCGAAGTTCCTCTAGAACAGAACATTTCACATCAGACCACTCTGAATGACTGTGTTTGCTTTTTAAAGATTCAATGATGCAAAAATTGTGAAAAAAAAATCTGTGGATTTTCCCTTCAAACACACTAGACATCTGGTTCCTGTCACCACCACTGTGAACAGTTCGGACTCAGTGAGTTTCTCTAGAACGCTGCATTTCACATCAAACCACTCTGAATGACTTTTCCTCTTAACTACTGAATTATGTAGAAATTTTGAAAAACTCAGCAGACTTCCCCTTCAACCTGGAGGCTTCTCTGAGCTTTTTTCTTTATGTTGATTTTGTTTAGATTAGATTTACATACTAATAGCTCTGAAACGAGAATCAAAACTTCCAAAGCTTGCAAATGTTAGAGACAAAAGTCTAAGTAAGTCAGTAAGGTAGGCAGGATGGCAGTACTTAATTAGTTCTTCTAACCTGTCTGCCAATTAGGAGCAAACCACATGACATTTGTATTCATTACAGGATATTGGGTTATTGTGTGAGTGGCTACACTGTAGGTTATCTGTCAGATTGAGTATAATTAATGCTTGTAATTAAGCTTCTGCAGTGCTTGGTCTTCTCTTTCTAGGATGAAGGTGTGTAGGTCATGGAGTATATTCTGTCTGACCTAGAGTGGGTACCTCTCTGAAGACTGATGCCTGCAGGCCCGGGCCCAAACTCTGATCTCAGGTCAGTGGAAATAACTGTTTATCTCTGTTTCGTCCTTCACCTCAGTGCACTCTATGAATGCATCTTCATCCTGGCACAGAGAGCGGGGCTCTGAGGACGAGCTGCTTCTAATTAAGTGCAATATTGTGAGCAGGATCTTTACAAACATCAGTGCTTGCTGTTGCAGTTCAGCTCTATTAATTTCCTTGGATGAAAGAATTCCCTTGTTGAAACAGAATGGAAAGTTGATGAGTAATATCAAGAAGATCTTTTCTCGCTTTCCGAGATGAATTGTTTGTAGATGGTAATGTGTTGCAATTTGTCATCGTATGTGGTTCGTTTGGTGCCTGTGAGCTGTGTAAAGGCCATTTTATGCAGTGTTTGGTTACCTTGCCCGGTGTTTTGCCTCTTGGAAGGAAAGCTTTGCCCTCTGGATGATTGCTTTGTGACAACAGGCTGAATGTCAATGACTGCCTTGTGTACAGCGTGCGCTGATATGCATCTACTTTTCCGTTCCAGTTCCACCATCTCCCACCCTCCCACCTCCCCCCGCTCGCACACACTGGCCTTATCAATAACTGATAGCCATCTGAAACGTTCCTGCTATCTTGACTGGAAATATGGAGGTAAAGTGAGACCGCTCTTCCCCTTTTTTTCCTCCCCCTTTTCATTGTGCTTTCTCCAACCCCCCAGTGAGCCGTGTTTGTTGAGGCTTTGTCTGCACCACTGGCTGAAATAGCTGCTTCCCCTTGAACAATACGCAGCTTAGCAAGGTCAGCCATGCACTTCACAGAAACCTGAGCCCCCATTTACGCCTCTGTGTGTGTGGGTGGGTGGGTATAGAGAGCAGTGAGGCAGGAGGAAGCGGGTGGACTGCGATGTGAATGGCCAGGCAGACGGAACTGGTCTGAATGGAGGAGGGAGGCCTTTGTGGAGCTGCAACTTCGGGCTCAGTGGAGTGTGAGTGTTTGAGGCGCAGACTAGCACAAACCGCTTTCCTCTAATCCTGCTCAGCCTAATTAACACATGTGCACCACTCCCTCTATTTCCAGTGAAGTGAAGTGACCAAATACATTACAAAAACAGTTTATTTTATTTGGTTGAGGCATACTTTAGAAGAGCGTGAAGTGTGGTGGTGGACCACAAGGCTGTGAGTGAGAAAAGTGAGCTGAGTGAAGCAGTGCTTAAAGCTGTACTACGTACGTTTTTTTCTTTGTTCTTGTAAAATTGAAAGAAGTAGCATGATTAAATCAGAAGAAAAAAAACATGCTAAAATATGGTGTGTATGCGTGTAAAGCCTGAAATAATCATTTAAAAGTCAGAGGCATTGAGTTGGATTTGGCTGGAGTTTTTTAGACCACGTCATACGTCTTTATATATTACTGTCACACACACAGACTCTGACTCAATGTTTTGGTCTCAAATGCAAAATCAACATTATACTGATTAAGATATGATGACAATAGTAGATAATTCACTCCCTTCCCATGAAGACATAACTTACACCAAGTTTTGATAAAGGTCTCTTTGAAAACTTCTTAAATCATCATAGTCATCTGTTCAGGGCCGAAACACAACCCAACATTCTTATACATGTTGCGTGCAATTACACTTTCCACCAGAGAGGTCTCCAAATCCTCAAAACTTTCATAGTGTAGCTTTAAATTGACAGATTGGCCAAAATACAAAATTCTAGAATTTTCTTTTTATCCCAACTGTAATCAATCAGCATAGATATGTTTGGTGTCAATTTTATGTAATATATATTTGTCCTTTTTTCTTTTTATTTATGTTATATGTCAGTCACTGTTAGAAGCCACATAAGTAGGGATGTAGCAATGCTCCTATTTTCACAATTGTTGCTGTTCTCAGTTTTTAATGTTTTACATGTTAAAATGTTTATGCAAGCCTAACAATTAGAACCCCTAGAAATTACAAATGACCACAGATCTCAGTCAGTTGAGTGTAAGGGTGTACATAGCATAAGCCCCTCCCTCCTCCACTTCCACTGTAATCTAATAAGATGGCTAGTTTTGATGATTTTCAGTAACAGTGGTTTCCACAAAAGACCCTCAGAGGAGTCTGAAGGATGTATCGACAATATGGTTTTAAATATGCTGCTTATAAAAACGCAGTTTTTGTTGTTTACCCAAATTTCCTGTGTAATTTAGTCATGTCCAGTAGGACCTGTCAGGTGGGACCTGCAAGCTAGACCTCCCCCTGTTACACAATGCTGCCAGGTTGACAGTTAGCTATGCTCAGGGTGCAGTCTAATGTAGATAAATGTCAGCTGTGCTGCAGAACCTCACCTTCTCCGTTATAAATTTGAAGTGCTTCCTATTGCCTAAACATGTCACCAGCAGTGCACCTATCCTAAACAACTGTCCGTACATTGTCCAGAATCTGAGCTAATCAAGCCCATTCTTTGTATACAATGACTTGACTGTATAAATGGAAGCAGTTTAAACTTCGTAAAGAAATAATTGACATAATTAAGATATGAAAATACTTAGGTTCCTGGATATCTTTAGTCCAGGAATGGAATTATTTTTTTCTTGTTTAGGCAACCAAAAACCTGAACAATCCAAAGAAATGCTGGAACAGTGGCCGCCATACTGTACAGCTCAGTGTGATGTACGGGTCTCGGTCTTGAACACTACCCCTGCGACACCACCAGGGATAGAATTTGTTATCTTCCAATAATAGGGTTTCGATTTTTACACTGTATAGAATTTTTACATCTTTACCCATGATGAAGTGTGTTTGCGGTTACTTAACAACTTCATGCAGTTTGAGGTACATGATGATTACGCCTACTATTGGCCGATGCCCACCCACTGGCTATTAACTTCCATTACTTATTAGCTATAGTAGCTATATTATAAAACTAAAGAAGCAAACACCAAACATGTCTTTGCTGATGGGGCTACATGTGGCATAAGGGGGAAATTGTGATTTCTGGGCAAATCATTTATTTAACTAGATGATAAAGTCAGCTTATTATATGATAAGGAGGGTGGAGGGAGGCCTCACTGAAAAAGCCCCCCATAATCTGGACTGGAGCACTTCAGCCTGCATGAGTCCTGCAGCAGCTCTCCTCCTGATGTGGTTATTACCTCCTCCTGAGGAAAAACACACAGCAAACAGGCAGGCAAATCAGCCACAGCCCAGGTACAGGCACCCTCGCTCGATGTTTAGCAGCAAAAATCAATTCCCTCTGTCAGCAGCACAGATGGAAGGACAGTTGTGCTCGTCGTGTCTGTGTTAGTCATCCCCTTAGAGCTCTGTGATCATCACCCCTTGAGTGTTTCCCTGCCACTGTGAATGTGCAGTTCCGATTAACTGTGTTCGTGTCTGTGTGTGTGAGCCAAGACAGAGTTTCAGCTTGGAGAAAAAGTTTGATGCAGATGGTTTGCTGACCATAGCTAACCTTGTGGAAGTCAATGAGGTCAGCTAAAGTGGCGTGTCTGTTCTGGTCCACCCCTAGGAAGCTGTAGTAATCGCCCGAGGCATCGATGAGGAAGTGTTTGAAGCCGGAGGCTGTGCGGTAGGACAGTGTGTACCCCCAAATTCTCTCGCTCACTCTTACCAGGAAACAGCCTTCTGAGGCGTTCGTCAGCAGAGACTCCGATTCCTGCCGTGAAATTATTCCTATAGGAGAATCAGAGAGAGAACAGTCAAAAAATTAATCGTTTCATGGATTTAATTTAATTATTCCACGCATTGCCATTCAATCAAATAGAGTCAGCATATGCAGACTTCTGCCTTAACATAAAATGCAATTGATTTATCTGTGCAACTGTTGCTAGTTTGGAAGAGCTTTACAGAACATTGGCAGCCATCCCATTCAACCTAATGAGAAACCTCAGCAATCTTTATTTAGAATCCCCATGTAACATTGAGTTTCCAGTTTAAAGTGCTACACCACTGTGCTGGACTGAGTGGTAGTTAATCCAGACTAGCCAGGTTGTAAACAACAACAGAACTGTTAATGTTTGCTCAATTCCATGACAAACATCTTCATTCTGTCTATCCTGACAGTGGCTATGTTCCCAACTGTGGAAACTGCAAGCGATAACATGACAATTAGTACAAAAAATTGATTTTTGCTGCACAGCTGCCAAAAACTACTGTCTCATAAGTTTTGGTTTATTGATTAAAAAAATGTTGTATTTGACGTTTCCATCTTTAATTTCATGTATGTTGTAAATTGAGTACCTTTGGCTTCTGTGACCTCCCCATAACCTACTGATAAGGAAATTTCAGTATCTTGTTTTGAGGGGGGGGGGTGCATGGCATCTACCTAAGTACTCCCCCAGACATGCACATTCTAAGCATTTTGAAAATAAAAGTGGTGGAAATAATGTTTTAAAGCCAATATTTTATTTGACTGCACGGGGCTCAAAAGCATGCTCTTTACAATACTAAAGAAAAAAATGTAGCAACAGGTGATATGAAATAAGGGTGGGTGGATTGATACTTCAGTATCATAACAATCCTCGTGTTTCTTTATGAGAATCAATTCTCACATGAAAATAGCAATATTTGTTTTCAAAGCAATTTCATATGTTTTCTGTAAGCAGTAAAGTCATTATCTGTCTTTTTATGAAAGAGATTGTGTCTTATGCTGAAAAATGATTGTAGCAAATAAATATGTAGGATACTTTCCTCTTTCCTCCTCTTCATCTTAACGAGCACACATTCATGTTCTGAAGTGGCAGATAATATATTCACTCCAATAAACAGTCAGTTTATTTGGTAAGCTATGTAATGCTGACCCTGCAGAAATGCACAAAAGACTATCAGTATCTGTGCTAGTATCACAATATTAGCCTTAGGGATACACTATGATATTAGAATCATATCAGTGCTGGCAGATAATTGCTAAAAAAATATATTGGCATTGGACAGATGGATAGATTTGACCGATATTACAAACCAATATTTGATGACCAATTTTTTGTACTGTTTAAAAGCAGATTGGATGACATTGGGATATTGCACTAAATTCATTTTACTGCAATCCTACAGAAATAAATTTTATATCTTTCTGTAATGCTAATCCATGTACATTTAGTCCTAATTTCTAAACATTATAACTGTTTATGTATCAGCATTGGCAGATATGTACATGCAAAATACTGGATGTCAGCATCATTTCTCATATCAGTGCGTCCCTGTGTGGTATTACTGTTATCAGATTGAGAATAAAATGACCACCCATCCCTGCTATGAAACAACATAACTGAGAGCGGCGCACAGATAGGTCAATTGCAAAGAAGATCAACATTTTCAGTTTGTAAGTCAAACAATCCACCCCCTCCTCTTTTCGAGTAAAAGATCGGCGACAGCAGTATCATGAAGGATAGAATGAAAGAGCAAGACACATTTAGATTGAAGAGCCACCTAGGGCAGATGAGAGAAAGTGCAGGACAGACAGGAGAGAGATACAGACTGATAGCCAAAAATGGGTTGTACGTGCTAGAGAGCACAGATGTTTTGGCACGACACCAGTGTCACTCTCGTGTTGCCGTAGTGGAATAGCATCACTCAGACACTTGTTAATCTTATCATCCCCCCAATCAGGAGCGACACACGGTGACCCCAATCAACCAAACCCAAGCTGTGAATTATTGAGCCATCTCTCTCTCTCTCTCTCTCTCTCTCTCTCTCTCTCTCTCTCTCTCTCTCTCTCTCTCTCTCTCTCTCTGTGCTTTCTCTGCACTCTGCTGTCTGTTTCTCTCACCCTTTACTCTGACTCTTTGTCACTCTCTTTTCAGTTCAATCAATACTGTTCTCTCTTAGTGGAACCACTCAACTAGTGTCCTCATACACTGCACTGTAACGTCTGTTATCTAACCTAGCCACCTACTGCTTAACCCTTACCCTACTGATTAATCTTAGATCTAGTACTACCATTACTGTTTTGCTGTACAGTCTATTTACAAAATTGTTTCAAATGTGCAAAGCTAAGTTCCAAAACACTGTCACAGGATCTGAAATGTTAATAAAAACAGTGATTTGTAAATCCACTTTGGCCTGTATTTAGGGCAGGCGTCAGCAACATTCAGCTCCGGAGCCGCATGCAGCTTTTTTCCTGCCCTATTGAGGCCCAAAAGCAGGACTAGATTTTAGGTAAAAATAAAATAATCCTTTTTTGCAGTAAAATAGAGCTCTGTTGATCATTCTAACACAGTTTTAACAAATAAATGGTCTTAAACGCTGGAGTTAATGTAGCCTATATCTGCTAATTCACTGACCTTTGACCCTTAAGGTTGGTGCAAAGACTGCTGGTCACATAGCAACGCAGACAACGGTCTCGCCTAGCTAGTAGCTAACAAAATAACAAAGAGAAAGTTTTCAGACAAACATTGATGATTTAGAGAAGAGAGGACAGACATATTTGTGTTTATAAGCACTCCAGCTGGGTTCCTGGTATGTTTAATCTGCAACAAGAAACTGTCAAACACTAAAAAGTCGCAAAGCTGCAGACAGTTTCTTGTTTGAATTTTCCTGTTCCACTTTAAATGGTGCTGTGAAATGAGAAAATTCAAATGAGAAGCTTAAGCGTCGAACGTTAAGAGACATTTTACAAAAAACTCTTCTACTTTAGCGAAAAAGTTTCCTGCCAGAGATGCGAGAAAAGCGGCTTTAGCTGAGCTTAAGCTTAAAGCAGAGTAAGTCTGTGTTTTGTTTTTTTTTAATTTTATACTTTTTATCCTATACTAGTACATTAGCATGTATTGAGACATATTTAAAGCCGGTAGGGTAAAATGGATATAAAATGTTGTGGCTCCCAAGGCAGTTTGATTTTTGTTGAAATGACAAAATGGATCTTCTTAACATTTGGATTGTTCAACCCCTGATTTAGAGGAAAACAGTATAAAGACAATATATTCATTGTTTTACCTTATAAACTTTTTTTTTATAATTTATTTTTCTGTAAATGTACAAAAAGTTGTGACTGGCAGTTTAAGCCTAGGAATGTTGTCAAATGTTAAAAAATAATCATGCTTGAGTATAAAAGGAGCATCCCAGAAATGCAGAGTATTTTATAAGCCAGGTTGAGTCAAGGCTCACCAGTTTGAGAAAAATTCCATTAGCAAATAACCCAACAGTTTAAGAATAATGTCCTGCAACAAAAGATTGCAAGGACTTCAGGCATTTCACCCTCTACAGTGTGTAATAATGGTTCAGGGAATCCAGAGAAAACTGAATGCCCATGACTTACGTTCCCTCAGAAGGCACTGCTTTAAAAACTGTCATGTTTCTGCGATGAATATCACCACATAGGCTTGAGATTACTTTTTTTAACTACTGTCAATAAACACTGCATCCCCAAATGCTAGTTAGGACTGTGTTGTGCACTGCAGAAGCCATATGTCAATAAAGCCCAGAAACGTTGCCAACTTCTCTGGGCCCTGAAATGGAAAACCCTTCAGATTGTTTATGGAAATAATAGACATTGTGTTCTCGGGCCAAATAAGAAAAGGACCATCCATATTGTTCCCAGGGTAAAGTTGAAAAGCCAGAGTCTGTCATGGAATGGGGGTGTATTAGTGCCTAAAGCATGGCTAACTTCCACATCTATGAAAGCACCTTTAATGCTAAAAGATACATACACATTTTGGAGCAACATATGCTGCCTTTTAGATGATGTCTTTTTTGGGAACGTTCATGCTTATTTCAACATTACAATGCCAAGGAATATTCTGAACATGTTACAAAAGCATGGCTGCATAATCAGAGAGTGCAGGTACTAGGCTGGCCTGCCTGTAGCCCAAACGTGTATCCCATTTAAAACATGTGCTGCATTATGAAGAGCAAAATACACCAATGAAGGTCCTGTACAGTTGTGCAGCTGAAGACAATTTTGATCCACCGTGACGCTTTAACACGCTTTGTCTGAGAGAATGTGTTCCTTACCGTGGAACCAGGTAGCAATAGTATTGCTGCTCCGCTCATAGCCTGCCCTTCTGGGCCTCTGCTCTTCTTTAAACCAGCGCAAGATGGAGTCACGAGAGGTTGGCCTGGGTGGCCGAATCCACACTGGACTGAAGAATAAAACAGAGTAGATGACCTACGATTAATCAATCTGATCAAAAGGCAGTGTGACGGTGCTTTTGTGCGTACAGTACCAGTCAAAAGTCTGGACACCTTTGAATGCATGTTTTTAATAATCTTTAATGTACCAGGGAACTATTGGAAGGTTGGAACTACTGAAATATTAAAAACGTTTGTATGAAACTGTGTTATATTAAACATACAGCAATGTTAAAATTAAAAAAATTAAAACTCATCTTAAAAACTGCTTATCAAACTAATCTGAGAGGTTTCTGGGCATGGTCCTGATATTCCCATGAGTATGGTGATTGACAGCCCTCTGTTCAGCAATCCCAGTCTGCTAATCACTGAAACATTCTGTGTTAATACAACAGCACGAAAGGGACAAATGAGTGAAAAAGGCTCTACGTATGAAAGTTGAGTTGTAGACTTGTAGACTACTCTGCTGTGTTCATGGCTACATATATATATATATGTATTCAATATTGTGTATTTTGGAAATAAGCATAGGCATCAACTTCACTATTTATTTATTTATTTAAATGTCTCTCCAACAAGTAATATTCAGCAGCCAAGTTCTCAGCAGCATAAGTGGAATTTCTTGAAGACGTTGTTATAAAAGCATCCCAGGTTTCTCTTAATGATGCTGCTTGAGAGAACACCAAGTGTAGAAAGGACAAGGGGGAGGGGGCAATTTTAAAAGTTAAAATACAAAAAAGATTGATTTGTTTAACACTTTTTTGGTCTCTGCATTATTTCATATGTGCCGTTTCATAGCTTTGATATCAGTGTTATTCTAAAATTTGGGAAATAGAAAAAAATATGGAAAATCTTACTACACTCAAAGGTTTCTAAATGGTTCTTGGCTTGGACATATGATTCTAGAGGGGAAAAAAACTTTGATCTAGAAAAAATTGATCTAGGCAGATTCATATATTCTTTACACTCAAACAGCTCATTTATGAAAAGGCAACTATTCTTTGTAAGGTTCTTTAGAAAACCAAGAGCAGTTATTTTGTGGTTTCACTCTAAAGAACTCTTTTTAGGACTTTTATTTATAAGAGTGTATGTGTGCCCAGAGTTTGTGCTGTGTATGCCAATGGTCACCAACCCTGTTCCTGGAAATGTTCCTGCAGAGTTTAGTTCCGACCTGCATCTAACATGCTGCAGGTATGGCAGATTGTTCTTAGAACTAGACCTCTGTAGGAAGCCAGATCTCCAGGATCACTGTTGTATGTGTTTCTATGATGTGTGCATGACTTCAGGTCAGTCATAGTGAAGGTTTGTGATAGTGGTCAGGGTGGTGATGTGGTGAGATTTGTAGATGTACCCCTCTGTTATGGACTGAGTCACAGGGCTGCTGTATCTGCGGTTCTGTCTGCGGCGGTAATGAACTGGAGCAGCTGCACTTCCGACAGCAGCCGGTGAGTGGCTGGCCTCGGCCGGAGCGGCAGACTGCTCGATGACGCCACTGTGGCGCCGGTTCTGACCCGAGCCGTTCAGATGCGTCTTCTGGAAGAGTCCGCTCAGACCGGCCACTAGGCCCTTCTCGATGGCCCTGAGGGACTGGCGTTTGTACTCGTCTCTGGCACGCCGAGCCTTGCACTTCATCTCCTCATCAGCCGCTTTGGAGCGGCGCACTGTGAAGCACACAGAGAGATTTGAATAGAAATCAGCCGCTTTAATAGGACTGGCCCATCTGGCGGATCTTTGTTCCACTCGTTCTGTTCTCTCACATTGTTCCTGCCATTCTTTGTCATCCCTTTCGCTCCTCTTTTCCTCCTGCTTCAGAGAGATGTACAGCTCTTTTGCTCGTCTCTCCTCCGTTTGCCGGATTTCCTCCTCACCTCTCTGTCTCTCTTCTTCCTCACATTTCTGGAGAAATAAAGATGAAGAACTCATTTGATCGCCTTCCGCTTTTCTCCCCAGCCAGCACCCAGGCAGAGTGGATTAGCTTTCCAGAGCTGGACAAGAAATCCCCCTATTGCCGGTCTCATTTTCAATTTCATTAGGGCCGGGATCGTAATGATTAATTTGCTAGACTGTGTCATTAGCCCTGACATCATGCTTTTAACCCTACCCATCAAATACCAGACCTACACATGCTAGCCTTGTCTTTCCACGATCGCTATCTACATTCTCCAAGGTTGCCAGCTCTTAAATAATTCACCTTCATGAACACAAAACACATAGCAATTAGGGCTAATTAAACTCAATCACCATTGTGAGTTGGTAATTAAAGGCTTGAGCGAAGGAGAAATTGAAGGATTCTGACACAGCTTGATCTTAGTGGCAGTGTCCCTGTCGAACTGAACTAATAGGATTGGAGAGGGGAGTCATGCTCCAATTGAGTTTATTTTGGTCACTGACGTGTAATCTTTTCAAAAGGCACAGAGTGTATTTGATTTGACATTATCGCAGACCCACCTTCAGCTCCTCTCGAATGCGATCCTCCTCTTCCTCCTCTTGCTTGGCTGCCTTTCTGTCATCTGTCTCCTCCCTCCATTTCTCTGCCACAAAGCGTGCCTTCTCCTTCGCCATGGCATCACGAAACTTCTTTTCAATCTCTGCTTCCTTCACACGCCTCAGAAAATCCAGCAGGAGATGAGTGACACACATGCTGCTGTTCTACATCAATGTCTTCTTCATCAGATCACTTCCACTCTTTGTTCCCCTTTCTTTTTTCTTTCCTCCCTTTCTCTTTTGTTTCTTTCACTTTTTCTTTCTCTTTCTCTCCTTCTCTCCTCCCTTCTCTTCGTCACTGTTTTTGTGTCTTGTTTGCTCTCTCCCCTTACTTTCTCTTATCTCTTTCTCTCTCTATCCTTCTCTTTCATTTTCTCTCCTTCTCTCTCTCCCCTCTGTCAACATCATCACATTTTCAGTCTTTCTCTCCCTTTTCCACGTTTTGTCTCTCTCTCTCTCCCCTTTCTCTCCCCTTCTCTTCTCTTCTCTCTCTTCTCTCTTTTCTCTTCTCTCCACACTCACTTTTCCAACCTCATCTCTCTTTATCTCCCCCCTTCTCTGTCCCTCTTTTACTCTTTCCTCTCATCTCTTACACTCTTTCTTTCTCACTTTTTCTCACTCTCTATCTCTCTCTGCTTTTCTCTATTTTCTCTCTTGCTCCCTCTCATTCTCTCTCCAACTCTTTCTGTTCCCTCTCTCTCTCACACACATACATTCTCTTTTTATCTCCTTCTTTTCCTCACTTTCTCTCTATCTCTCACCTCACCCTTCTTCCTTTCTCTCCTTTGCTCCCCTCTTCTTTCCGCCTCTGTTTATCATGTTCATCATCTCATTTTCACTGTTTCTCTTTCTTTTTCCACTCTCTCTCTCTCTCTCTCTCTCTCTCTCTCTCTCTCTCTCTCTCTCGCTCTGTCTCTCTCTGTGTCTATTTCTACCTCCCTTTTTCTTTCCCCTCACTTTTTTTTTAGGTGACTCACATCTGTGAGTCTTCACACCTTCTCTACATCCTCCTAATTCTTAATAAGCAATTTTCATCACTCTCACTCCTTCTTTCTTTTTCCACCTCTGTTTCCAGTTTCATCATCCTAATCACCATTCCTGACTCCCTGCTCAAACCTCAGTCTTTATTGCTATGTCTTGCTCCCTCTTTCTTGCTCTCTCATCATCCCTCCCACCCTGCGGACCCTGTAGCGCTTTAACTAGGATCTAGGGAACTCGATACAAAAAAGACAAAAATAAATAAATAAAGCTCCCCCATACAAAAATGCCCTTTAGTTAATAAAAGGGACAATACAGTTTGCTTTTTTATTTGCTAATGCTGTATTATTTCAGGTCAATGCTTTAATGCAGGCTAATCACACACACACACACCATCTAAACCGCTTATCCTTCAGGGTCACGGCAGGGTGCTGGAGCCTATCCCAGCTGTCATTGGGCGGAAGGCAGGATACACCCTGGACAGGTCGCCAGTCCATCACAGGGCAGACATATACATTCACACCTAGTGGCAATTTAGCATGTCCAATCAGCTTGACTGCATGTCTTTGGACTGTGGGAGGAAACCCACGCAGACACGGGGAGAACATGCAAACTCCACACAGAAATGACCCTGGCCGCCCGGCCGGGAATCGAACCCAGGCCCTTCTTGCTGTGAGGCAACAGCGCTACCCACTGCGCCACCATGCTGCCGCTAATCATACAGTATATCAATAACTATCTCACCTCACCTCTCATCGGTGATACATTCAGAGGTGATTTTCCCTTTAACTCATTAAAATCTGCCCCTCAGTAGTCAGGATACATGCATGATGCTGGCCTTATTGTTGGATAGTTGATAGATGAGCGTGTAAGCACATTCAGAACAGAGTTCAGATCACTACAATCTTATTATTTGTTTGTTTAGTCGATAAAATAACAGTAAAAGGCAACAGAAGTTTGAAGTAAATTCTTATTAATATATTTTCCTGTTCAGAATGGTAGCTTGTGAGATTTTCAAATTTTCAGCTGTGTTGGATCATGTTCTTTACATGTCAAAATAAATGCGATAACTGCCTTGAGGAATTAAATTATTAATGGAGAAGAGTGCATTGCAGTGTTTTAAGTCAATACACTGTAGCGTTCAATGTGCAAAAAGTCTGCAATTGCATAAATGATCTTTACAGACTAATAGACTCACCTATTGCACATTCTCTACTGAGAGATACTGTCTCTAGCCTGTGTGACATAATTTGGGGAAAATGCTTTCCACTGTTCTCGCTTTCAATGAGTATGGAAAAAAGCAAATAGCAGAAACAAATGTTTCTGAATATCTCAGGTGAAATCTTATTGTTTTTCTTTTCGGGTGGATGGAGATGTGCAGTAAATTGCCTTGAAATGCTTTGTCATAGTTTCTCTGGTAGAATCTATTACCTGATTTTTTTTCTGAATAGGAAAGTCTGTCATTGTATCAGTCAGTTTTATATAATGACTGTCCTGCCTATTAGCTATTCCTCATCAGATAAAAAAGTGTCTACAGTCTACTTTATCCATGCATTCAGTCAGCAACTGATTGCAACTTTAGTTCATTTGGGGGCTGAAGGGAAATATGACTAAGAGTCATATGAGTCACTTATATGACTGAGAGTCATATAAGTCATATAAGTCACATAAGAGAGTATTTCTTATTTCTGTCTCTATGTTTTACATAGTTATCCTGTTAACTTCTGTGTTTTTCTGTTAGATCTGTCTTAAATGTTTGAAAAAGTCTATGAAAAATGAGTGAAAGCAATGAGAACATGTTAACACATTTGCACAGTTTGCTAAAGTGACAGTGAAGTTTAATTGGACCCCAGTTATGTTAAATGTGCTTTAGCAATTGAGAAAAACTGTGAAAGGCATAAATAGCTCCTTTATGCACTTAGGAGTCATAGCTACTTCTAAGCCACAGGAGAATTACGCAAGAAGCAATATAAGGGGTCCAATAAAGATGTAAAGGGGCTTGGTTACTATGGACCCCCCCATGCTACGGGCCCCAGTGCGACTGCCATGTCTAGACTGCCGATGAAATTTTTCTGGACTTTCTCACCGGAGTTCCTGCGCTTCTCTCTGGGCCTGCTTCCTGGCTCTCTCCTCCATCAGCTTCTCTGCGATCTCCTCGTAGGGCTTGTCTCCGGGGGCCTCCCCCATCACCCACACCCACACCTCACCATCTGAGCCCAGGAGCCAACGGAGTCCTCGCCGGCTGCCTGACCACACACACACCACACACGCGCACAGTGAGGAAAGCTGGCACCGCAAGTGGCTTCCCTCCGTGAGTGAAACTCAGATAAGATAAAGCCAAAAAAGCAAAGGAACGATAGCACACTGTTACAGAAGATTATTCACCCGCCACTGTGAGCTACAGCAGCAACCTGACAACTTCCAGAGAAAACACAAGCAATACAAGAGCGTGAGGCATCTCATCAGGAAGCTTTCACACAGAGCAAATAGAAAGATGACCTGCTGATGGTGTTTGATGATTCTGAGATTTGTTGTCAAAAAAAAGAAACAAATTCCAATTTAAAGTACTCTTGCTGTAAACAGAGACATATCTATTAATCTGGCTTGTCATCATTGCTTGTAACATGATTCTCATCTGGAATAATTCTGTCATATAGATTGCAAATACAGTACTGTGCAAAAGTCAGAGACCACCTTTCATTTATCTCATTCCCAGTCAAAACCTCCAGTTAAGTAGAAGTTATTCATTGTTCAGGGAAAGGAACAAAGCAGAAAACATTTATTTAACTAACAACTTCTCTTAAGCCTTGACAACTAAATAACAAAGTTTTTCACTATGTAGTGTGTCCATCCTTCACCTCTATTACAGGTTCCATTCTTTTCAGGAGACTTGCTTTTTTCAAAGAAATCTGCAGGAATAAGTTTACACACCTCCAAAGTTCAGTCTTAGAAGTTGCATTTCTGCTTTTCACGATTTCACACATTTAGTGATATTGAGGTCTGGACTCTAGGGTGGTCAGTCCATTGTTTTGAGAACACCAGCAGCTTCTTGATTTGTAAATTTTATTCTTTTTTGTCCACTTTCTTTTCTCAGTAACAGCTTCTTGACAGCTACACATTCTTTCAGACTCATAGTGTTGAGTTGTCTTCTCACAGTGGAAGGATGGACAGAAATACCGGTGTTTTTTTTTTTAGATCTGAAGCCAGAGTGGAGTTTGATTTTCTCCTCTCTGTCAAAGATGAAAGCTGTAAGTGCTGTTTATCTGATGGGGACAGCTTTGGTGGTTTGCATGGTCTTGCACATTTGTTGGGAGTCCCGTTTTCTGTGTATCTTATAATGCTTTTTTGAACTCCAGTTTTGGAATCCGTTTTTTCACTTATTTTTTCACTTTCCCTTCCTTAAGCAAGTGAATTATCTTATGTAACCTCCTCAGAAATACCTTGTGAATAATAAATAACTAGTAATTACTGGCTGTTTTGACTGGCAATTAAATAAGTGAATGGTGCTCTCTGACTTTCATACAGTACCGTGTTCTAGTTTTAGAATGTTAACCCCTTAAAGCGCAAGGGCCCATCTTCCTTTTACACATTAGTGTAATAGTAGCTAGAATAGAATTAATTAGTAACTAAATAATAAGCATGTAGTTGAAAAGCTTAAGATATTATAAGCCCAGTTTTGGAATTGTATTGTTCATGTCATATCATGAATGTTTTGCTTTCAAATCCACACATATACACATAGAAAAAAGTGATGTATTGAATTTACATGACTCACATTTCACACATGAATAAAATATTCATTGACACAGTTACTACCAAAAGTAAACTGAAAGACTGGATCACATATATTCAGTGCATCACTATTTTCAGTGCATCATTTGCTACGCCAGCTTCTCCTTACGTTGTATGAGCATGATGATTGGACTGATACAAATGGTTTAAAATTACTTGGAATAAACTTCCTGTGGATTAACTTACATAAAAAGTTAATGTTTTTTCTTCTTTGTTTCAGTAATAATTTACAGGAGAAGATCTCTAAAACTGCTACATCATTATTCCATTTTACAACCAGGGCTGTGAAGGACAGTATTAATCAGGCTGACCAGCCAGTGGACTCACTCTTCTTGCGGACAGCTGGGCTGGGGTCTCTGCTCTCCCTCTCATTCCAGCGGCGCACCTGCTCCTCACGGATCTTGTAGAACAGAACCTGCTTCTGCTCCTCGTTCAGCTCCTCCAGCAGATCAGGCTCGATGTACATATCTTGGAGAATCTGCTGCATCATCTTGAAGGCTGGCTGATAGTCACAGCAGCAGGTAGTCTTTGTCCTAGTGCTTCTCAGCTCAGGTGGCTGCTGCTTCTTGATTTTGGCTGCTTTTCGTTCTCCTCTGTGAATTCTTCTCCTCTGGGTGGTCTTCAGAAGACAGGGAGAGCCCAGAGTGGGCTCTGTTCAATAAAGAGTAGATATTTGTCTCTTAAATGCCACATGCTTACTGCTAGTCTTGCCCCCCTTACCACTGGATGTCTGTCTGTCCCTCTCTCTCTCTCTCTCTCTCTCTCTCTCTCTCTGTTTTGTTCTGTTTTGTTCTTCTCAAGTGTGCCCTTGTGTTCGCTTTGTCTTACTTATACTGTCTTTCCAGAATTCTCCTTACTCCTCTAGTTCTTTTGTCTGGTGTTTTTCTCTGCCACTCTCTCACTTTCTGTGGTGGCGGAGGCGCTTCATTGTTTAGCATCTCTATGGGTTTTAATTTCACTCCTCCTCCAGCTATGCTCTCGCATGCTCTTTCTCTTTCTTTCTGTCTCCTGCAGTGACCCTCCAGACAGGTGTGTCTGACGCCAGTGCCTGTGTGTGACAGGCCTAAATAAAATTCTTTCCTGAAATGTGTTGGTGCGTCTGCATGTGCTTGCTGTCACACTCTCTGAAAAAAGATACTAAACCTTACTTGGTGGTTACTTCTGTACCATAATCCAATGAAACCGGATGAAAAAAAATGTATATATATTTATATTTTATTATATATATATATAATTGGCACACAAATTTGGCATTAAATCCATTGTTGTTTGTACCTGACAGTGTATGTTCTTCTTGTCTCTTGAATTGTGTTCTGTTCTCTGACATCCATTTATGACATTTATGGGGGTTTATATAATAATTCATTTTTACAGAGCCATTTATGTTTTTTGTTACTGTGCCTTGAAGACAAATGTAAATTGGTATATATGTTTGTATATATGCTTTGGAATTATTGTAATAATGCCACTGATTCTTCAAATGCAGTAATTTCCATTTTGAGAAAGGGAAATTGACAGACAATAAGGAAGACTAATTTAATGAACTAATTTCATCTTAAACAGCTTACTAAATACTGTTAAATAGTAAATACAGGTAATGTTTTATTCCCCTTTGCGGATTGTTACAGGTCATTAATAAGCAGTTAGGCTACGTTAAAGCAGTTTACCACTCTCTCTGCAGAGGGTTTCTCAATGTGCTACTAAAGTATCCTGATGGTTCAATTGAGTTGTAAAATGATGAAAATATAATACTTCATGTTTTCCCCACAAGCATATAAAGCTGAATTACAAAGCCCCTTTACATTAACAATGGAAAAAAGCATTTTTTTTTTAATATGTTAAACATGGTTTTGGAGCTGTCTGCTCAAGTCTAGCAGTCTAATGTTTCTCCAGCAGGGGGCACTAAGTGCCACATTCAACCAGTTTTGGCCATAAGTTATATAATATAAAATACACATAAACACACACACACACACACACACACACACACTCACACAAACACACATTATCTAATCCACTTATCCCTCTGAGTCGCAAGGGGTGCTGGAGCCTATCCCAGCGGTCACTGGGTGGAAGACAGAAAACACCCTGAACAGGTCACCAGTCTGTCGTAGAGCAGGTAAATAATATAAATACTATAATATAAATGACGTCTGGTATGCTGTCCTGTATTGTACTTTTGAAACATTCCTTATAACTTCAGCGTGAAAGGGTTGGTATAAACTGCTGTAGGCGTAGAATAAGTAGATAATATGTAAATAAGCTAGTTTTTGTGACGTTACAAACATAATGATTCCAAAATGAACTGTTTTTGCTATATAGTTTGCATATATTTAAGGATTGAGAATTGAAGAGCAATTGAAACCCCAGTGTCTACATACTACATCAAGCTTTCATTTCAAAAAAGAAAGGAAAATTGTGACTCTTTAATGTGACAGTGACAGTATATATGTGTGTATACATGTTGCTGTGTGCTACCTGACCTGCCCCTTTCTCTTCTCCTTTGCATAGTGGAACTTTATCTGTGCTACTCATGTTGCTCTAGTGCTGTAGCAGATGGTGTTAACTGCTCTCCCCCCTTCTCCTGCCCCTTTCCTCTGTTCTCCAGGTAGCCCTTCAGCCTTGAGGGCTCCACTCCCTCATGTCTCATTACAGCTTAATGCTCCATACACCCCTAATCGTGCCTAACTGCCTTCTAATTGTTGTCTTTATTGTTCTGTATTAATTGGTATGTAATTACAGTATTAAACATGCTTAGCCCAAACATGCTTATTCTTGTGGCGTGACATCATTTACTCCTTTCTTGTTTGTATTCCTGTGGATGGCTTTGCTGTGTGCTGTTATCTTCTCCTCGCTGCTGTATCCTTCTTGCTATGCATGGTGACCTCATGACCTGGTAATTACTCCTGTCTCTCCTGGCCATTCTTCCAGTCACACTTGTTCATTCTTGTCAGGGGGGGATAGGGAGAGAAAGAAACAAAGAACGAAAGCAAAAAGAGGAGAGGAAGCAAATGTGAGCAGACATGGCAGAGGTAAAATAATGTTACTTATTACTTTTTCAGACTTGTAATTCAAACAGCCAAGATGTAAATTTAATACGCTGACCTTTTTAACATCAACATTTTTGCATGTGCTGACACCGGTGTCAAAGAGGCTTATTTTTTTTTGTTCGCTACTTTGCATAATTTATAAAGCTAACTCCAAAATAAACACTAATTACCCCATTGATGTAATAATCTTGTCTAACAGTGAGACTCATTATCAAATGTAATTAATCAAAAACAAAAGCCTGTCAAGCCTTTTCGAAGGCTACAGTGTTTACAATAACAGTGCTAATTCATGGTGGGCGAATTTGAACAGAGATCAAGACTAATTATCTCATTTGGCCCCACCACTGAGCAGCACAGCCCACATTGGGTGTTTTGCTTTTATTTCGACACGTCCTAACTCTCTGATCACACTCATACATCCATGACCTAAAATGTGCTTTTGTTAGGACCAAAAAAGGAATTGCTTTCTAAAATTCAGTCACCGGTTGTGCATCATAGTAGATAATGAAAGACCATGGAATGAATCCTTTTAATATCAGTCATTCAGAGCTGATGCTATGAGAGTAACCCTTCAACATAACAGCCACTGAAGTCTATCGAGAACAATGCAAAGTAATAAGCCTGATGCTTGGCCCCCTCAGGCTTTTCCATTGAAGCTACTTAATAGTGTTCACTGAAGCTCTTCTTCTCTGTCTTCGGGCCACGATAACTACATGCACTGCTGTGCTCTGAAAACCTGTAGATTCCCCATTATCACTGCTTTGCTCTATGGTAGCAGGCTTTTCCCACTTTGAGTTAATGACATTGCTGTTATTTATATTACTCTGAGTATTTCCAAGAACACTACATCCTCTCTTTCTCTGTTTTCTCTCTTAAAATAACAGCAGTTGAATTAGCTTCAGCTGTAGAAGCTTGCCGTCATACTCGTCTCCAGTTCATAATTACTTGCTTCAGTGTGTATTTAATTTGCCCTGAACTCGTAGAGCTAGTCCTTTACTTCCGCCCACAAACGTCAAAAGACACCTCTACAATGAAGACTATTTCCGTTACAGCCCATATGGAATTTCTAACAGTATGTAGTGCTAAGCGAACAGCGATTCACTTTAGATTTTTTTTTTTTGGCAATTCTAGATTAAATGTAGATATTTGACGCATGTAAAATACATTTTATTCAAAGCTTGTAACACACATTAACATATAGTAATATATATTATTGTTTCGTATGTAGCATTTCAAAGCTACTGCTGCAGAGTTTAAATACAACAAACATGATGATTATATACACACACACACACATTTTTCAAGTCGCTTATCCTTCTGGGTCACAGGGGGAGCTGGAGCCTATCCCAGCGGTCATTGGGTGGAAAGCAGGAAACACCCTGGCATGTTCAGTTAGCCTGACCGCATGTCTATGGACTGTGTGTGTGTGTGTGTGTGTGTAAAATACGGTTTCCTCCCATGTGTGTGTGTATATATATATATATATATATATATATATATATATATTTTCCCCAAATGGAATCATTAGGCCTGGAAGGCCCTGAGGGTTCCCACTGCTTATTGGTGAAAGCTATTTTTATTATTGTAAAAGGATGTAATAGAAGCGCTCTAACTGATGCCAGCCTTTTTGAGATAAGGACACCATCCTCAGGCTCAGTCTCTCTACCATCCAAGGAGTCCCACGAGTGGCAAAACTGAACCACATTTCTAAGTCCAAAGAAGATGATGATGAATAACTTTTAGACTCTGCTCAGACACCATTGTGATTGCCCATTTCACAGTCAGGCTCCAAGCACTCCACCGTCAAGATCTCGACCCAAACTGCATGACCCAGATTCAGAACGCGAGAAGCCAACATTTACAGAAAAATGGTCTATGCAGAAGAGACTGGCACTCACGCTCGGAAAAATGTGGGCGATATTCCGAGACAGTGCTCCTCCTCTTTAGGGTTAGAATTGGATTTTCTACTGATGCCTGCACACCTGTCTCAAACATGAATAAGAAGCACTTCAGAACTACGTCTCGGTTTTCAAAGTGGAACGCAGGCTGCTTATGCTTCATTTTCGGAAGCTTTTGGGATTTAAATCAATGGAAATGGCAATAGTTCCTTTAAGTCTTTAACACAAGAGGCCTCTTCTTTGCTGGCTGAATTCAAAGGAAGTTCACTCAGTGAAAAGTCAGAACTGACTGGGTTAGCAGATCACCATGGAGACAACCTTCATTTCGCTCAGCAGCAATGATGTTGGACCAGATACTTCATTGAAAAGTGATCACCAAGAATGTCTCATCTTTCTTCTGGAAGGTGAAAATATGCAAGCTACAGGCCTGGGTCTCAGGAGTGGATCAGCTTTTCAGATGCTTCACATCTTGATCAAGACAGACAGTAAATCCATTCTGGAGTGTCTGAATTTACTTATCCATCGCTCTGCCCACAACTGCG